ATTGAGAACATCACAGATGCCATCTACAGCAGCAGGAAGACTCTGTGTGTGATCAGCCGCCGCTACCTGCAGAGCGAGTGGTGTTCACGGGAGATACAGATGGCCAGGTACACACTCACTCGGGTTTAGTCCTAATCTAGTCTTGGTTTAGTTCAGATTTAGCCAAGGTTTAGTCCTCATTTAGTCCATGTCTAGTCTATGTCTCGTGCTGGTTCAGTCCTGGACTCTCACATGTCTCTCCTGTGTGCAGTTACCGTCTGTTCGATGAGCAGAAGGACGTGCTGATCCTGCTGTTTCTGGAGGAGATCTCGTCCAATCACCTGAGTCCGTTCTACCGCATGAGGAAGCTGGTGAAGAGCCGCACGTATCTGAGCTGGACCCAGGCCCGGAGCCACAAGGGTCTGTTCTGGGAGAACGTTCGCAGAGCGTTAGAGTGTGACAACAAACCTGCAGACAGCCACAACCCACTAACTGTTAATGTTTAACTGCAACCTGGTCACCGTAAAAGTTTGTGTGTCTATATGTGGTGTAAAACTCTGGAACAGTCTGGATACATGTCTCAAGCAATGCCAAAATATCCATACATTCAGGTGACATATATAAACATATGGTCTGGTCACAGGAAATAGAGAGTGGGTCATAATATTAGAACATACTTCCTTCTGTAGTGCTGCTTTATGCTTGTTGTTTCCTTACCTTTTCTGGTTTGTGCCGTCCATTACATTATTTGTATTTGTTGTCTGTTACCACATTTGGTATGTTTATGTACTATTATAATATGATGACAGTTATGTGACTGAGCAATAACAGTGATTATTTGTCTGCACTTGTAAATACTTCATATAGTTTAATGTAAAATGTCTGAAAAATGCAAAAGAAAGCTTATTGTGTTAGATTAGAAAAGGGGGGGGGGGGGGGGGGCTTCTTCTCACTTCTTTTTGGGCAGTTTTGTTGTTGTTGTTGTTATTTCTGCTATAATTTCATTAATGTTATATGTTCCATTGCAAAATAATGTAAATGTCTTACTTGCCCAAAATAAATACATAAATAATAATAATAAAAACTCACTGCTCATGAGTTTGATGTCATTGATGTCATTTGTTGGTTAAAAGGGGGCGTGGTGTGGATCGGTTAGTGTCAAACTTGATCTTGTTTAATTCTTACAAAAATAATCAATATCTTAACTTTAAACATAATAATGATCTTAATTTATGATTTACGCTGTGGGGACCGGATGTTTCTCCCCATAAAGGTTGAGGATAGGTACCACTGGTTCACACTCACATTATGGGGACCTCATTGTGCTGGACTTTTGCTTGGGGGAGATCTAAGGGTCTTAACATGTTCATTTAGAACCTTTTCACAGCATTGCTTTTGTCAGTCTTATTGAGAAGAGGGAGACTTTTTTTTTTAATAGAATAAATCACATTTCCAAGAACCTGATGCACTTTTGGAGTGTCCCATGTGGCTATGGCAATTTTGGTAATTATAGTCAAGTTTTAATGATGACTGAAAATGTGTGAAGAATTATCAGGCCATTCAGCTCATTGTTATGTAAAAACTGTAAAGCTCTTTTCAGATATCAGGCAATCGACTTTCAGCACCACCGGCTGTTATTTAAAGTTTAAAGACTTCTAAAAACTAATGGTGGTACGATGATGTGTACAGAGTTTAGGCCCCACTATGTTATAAACACCCACACACCACCAGGGCCAATGCAACTCTGCGTAAATTTGCTAATTTTCTTTCAGTTGATCTTTTATTAGTCTGTAAAATATTTGTAAACTAAATAAAAGAACTATGCAACTATATTCATGTTGTAGAAGGGGAAAAAGGGGGGTCTTCACTTTCATATATAATTAATTATAACAGAGGTAAGTCTGGCTAAAACATAGGACAAAGGCAGTAACTAGTGGAAAATACAATTCTTTATTTAATTAATAATATTAAAAAGAGTTCATTTACACATTTAAAAAGTATTTAACATAACAATTTGGAGCTAAAATCTGGGGCTCAACTAAACCACACAACAAACAAAATTAGCCCTGACCTTTGAACAAAATGTGAACAAAAAAAAAAAAAAGAAAACTTTGACCATTTTAGAAATAAAAAATGTATCTTATTAGATACGTTAGGCCTTTATGGCTGCGTTCAGACTGCAGCCTGAAGTGACCCAAATTCGATTTTTTGGCCTTTATGTGACCTGTATCCGATCTTTTAATGACAGTCTGAACCACACAGATTTTTTCAAATGTGACCCAGGACACTTGGATATGTGCTCCTAAAACCGATACATATCTGATCTTTTGACTTCAGTGTGAACAGCCAAAGTGCATTCATCCATCTACACGTTATCAACAAGACACAAACGTCACTATTCTGCACTGAAGTAGGAGAAAATTGTTAATGAACTCCGTGTCACTGAAGTGAAGCACATCACCACTCAACACTCTTGGCTCCGTCCACACGTTCCTTTCAACGGACGTCGCTGCCGCTGCCCCACAAAACACCACGACCAAAAACCTCGTCCTTCTCCTTCTCAGTCTCCTCCTTAAAACAAGTAAGTTGTTCATGTTCTGGCTCCGGTACGAGAGGAACTTTAAAATCTCCAGGTGCTCAATGCTGCGTCCATGTTTGGACAACTTCTGTAAACACAGAGACGCTCGCTGCGGTTGACGTCATCATGTCTCCAGTGCAAATGCGGGACATTTTCGGGCCGTTTATTGTTCACACTGGAGATCACATACAAGTCACATTTAATTGGAAATGTGAATGACGTCGAAAAAACATCGGATTTCACAAAAAAATCGGAATTGAGCATTAAGCCCTGCAGTCTGAACGTAGCCTATGTCAAATTTATTGAAACCAACCATGTTTATATTTAAAAATGTGTCTTCTGAGCCTGTTATTTACTGACAACCATGGAAAGCCCACTAAGGGGCAGCTGACAAGTATTTCATTGTATACAACAGGTTTTTCAGGAAAAATATTGATTATGTGTGTAGGCAGAGGTCTCAGAATGTTGTGTATCAAATATGATACAAATGGCTTTATAGGGTTAGTAATGCAAAAAAAAAGTTGCAAGGTGCTACTACATTGCACTATCCTCTATTGCACTACTCCCCCAATACCCCAATATTGCACTACTACCCCAATACCCCAATATTGCACTACTACCCCAGCCTATAAATATAAACACACTATAGCAACTACTACACTAGCTCTATAGATAAAGGAATTTATGGGTGAACTCTGAGATCAGACTTTGCAAGAGAATTTCTAAGGATTTAAGAGAATTTGAGAGCAGAAAAATACAGCAGCAGCGTAATCTGGATTCTAAAAGAAGAGTACCCTACATGGGGCCAGGAGCATGTTAGGAGCAGCCAGACAACACACGCACTGCGTTCATGAGCCACCGAAAGCCCTGACTGCCTCCACACGGCACGTGCAGCCTTTTCTAATCACTAATCAGTCACGCTGGGAGTCACACACAGCGACACACCGAAGGATGCATTCACGGACACCTTACGGTAGGACAAAAACTAGCGTCTGCTAACCACCCGGTTACATTCATAATAACTGAAATTCTACAGGGCCCTTTTTCTACAGTCATTCATTAACATTTTTGGTAAAACTGTGTTTTTGTGTTGTGCAAAACTGATCAAATCTGTGTATCAGTCATTCTAAAATGCTGTTGACACTAAAACTTGCATGTCTGCTTCCTGTTCTGTTTTCTAACTAAACGTATTTTATTTTTTATGAAAAGCAGTGAGGTGTTTCTCTCAGTTCCTCAAGACCGAACGGACAGCTCTGTTTTCTGAAACACTCCAGTGTGGTTAAAAGTCATAGACACTTTATGTCACTAACCTGTTAAGTGTACATTTTTTACTCCCACTCCCGGCCTGAGTGTGTGGAGGCCAGCGCACTGTATTTGGCTGTGCTCTGCTTTGGGCAGATTGACAAACTGATCTGTAAAGCTGCTCACATGATCAGTTGTGAGCTGGAGACATTTGTCACAGTGAGTGACACGGGGACACTGGACAAACTGCTGTCCATCATGGACACTCTGCTCATAGGCTCCGATTAGTTTTTTCAAGTCTGTGCTCAGAGCACACACACTCCAGGGGCACACACACATTTCACTTTTTCCTCGTGTTTCTCGTGAGCTCCCCTTCCGTATAGTAGCGGACACACCCTGTTCACTGACCCGCAGGTGCATGGAGTTTTACAGCTCTGTTAGAGTTTGTCACTGTGCTGACTCTTCACTTTCTCTGGTGTTCTCACTCTTCATGTCCCCAGTAGACTGTGCTGGTTCGTGTTTGAGTGAATAGTGTTTGGTGTGGCCTATAGGCTACTGAGTTCAGTTTTGTTAGTGATCCTGCACAGTGCTTTGTGGAAGATCTAATAATTATCACATGAAGGGAAACTCTAGTCCTCAGATCAGACTTACCACACAGAGAGAGACTAAGTGCTCCTATACATACATATATATATATATATATATATATATATATATATATATATATATATATATATATATATATATATATATATATATATATATATATATATATATATATATATATATATGTGTGTGTGTGTGTGTGTGTGTGTGTGTGTGATAAATAAAATTGACCTTTGACCCTTATTTGGGAGTTCCTGTTCTCTGTCTTTATATTATGAGCCAAAAATACGTTTTTGTGCAAAGGCCAAAGCAGAAACTGACATGATCATTATTTGCTTGATTTTGCCCAGACTTCCATCTATTATAAGAAAAACACTTCACCAAGCTCCAGTCATCATGGTGAGCTGTGAAACATATTTGACCAAATAAACTTTTGTTCAATTGACAAACTGAATTTCTCCTTTTGCTTTTCTGTCAGGTGAGCACCTCTCTCCTCGAGTATGTCTGGGTGGGAGTGGACGTGATTGTGAGGGTTAATTAAAAATAAACCAAAACCAAAAACAAACAAACAAAAAAGAACATACAAAATACAAGCTACGTACACTTAGATTTTATTTTATTAAGCCACAAGGAAACTTATTTGGACACACAATACAATACAATACAATATCCCAGTTGTTTTTGTCTTTTGTTCAGTGTTTATTAAAGGTGACAGCAATGCATTCCACTCTTCTGTTGCTTTGTAAATAAAAATGAATTTGAGATTGTTAGTATTTGAGAATAAATAGCACAAGATACAAACTGCATGAATCATAATAAAATCCAAAAACGTGATCTCAGCCCTAAAAGATTGTGGGATTGAGAGACAAAATGATACCCCTACCCCTGATACCAAAGATTAAAAAATTTACTTTATAGATACTTTGCAGTGATTTCATGCTGGGGGTGTTCTACATGTAAGTCTATGGTGGCATGTTCAGTAGTTACTATGGTGACTTAATACATGCATTAGGAACAGTGTCAAAAAAAGTGTTCAGGTTGTCTGCAAGATGGATTTAAACAACACATTTTCAGAAGCCTGTGATCAATACAAATGTTCATGGTTCTGTTTAGGGTTTATTTTATTTTATTTTATTTTTTTGAGTGATTAAGGTGAGTCTGACTAAACTGAAAAAGAGATGGCTGATGATAGTTTGTGAGTGCACCATATTTTTCAGACTATAAGTATCCGGAGTATAAGTTGCACCAAAAAATGAGTAATGAATACAAAAAAAACCCCAAAAAACAAAAGAACAATTCTGCAATTTTTTTGTATATCCAAGTAGCACTCCTGCCCCCAAAGCTTTGCAAAAAACATATATAAATCACACTGGACTATAAGTCACCCTTTGTGGGAGAAATTAATTTGATAAAATCAGAGACCAAGAACCGACATTTCATGTAGAAAGGCAAGTTACAGTAATAAAGAGAACAACAGACTGTTAACATCACATATGAACAGTTCTTCAGATAAACTATAACATAAACAACAGAACAGAACAAGTTTAACAAACTCTCCATCTCACTCCAAATCACTAAATCCATTCAATTCTTCATCCTCGGTGTCACTTCTGAACAACTCAACCTCGACCTCCGGAAGTAAACAGAGCGACCGCTTCCTCTTCTGTGTCGCTGTCGTCAGACTCAGCATCAGTTCCAGTTAGAATTATTCGGGTCTTTCTGAATCCCGACAGGATGGTTTCAGTGTCACTGAAGTCCAGACTTTGTCCATCCATCCAGTGAGTCCAGAAGAAGTCACATGGTGCATCCTCCCGATGTCACAAGTTTCTCGCTCACTCCAAGCTTTCTTTCTGCTGCTTGTTTACTGTTTTCTGCTGCAAACTTCACTACTTGAAGTTTGTAATCTGCAAAACATGATTTTTTTTTTGGGAGCATTTGTGTTCAGTCTTCTCAGTCATCTTTATAAAGGGTGAAGTATAGTTCTGCATCAACTCAACGCGCACTGCCGCCGTCGCCTTGTCGCTGTCGTTTTTGATTTATGGATCTGCATTGAGGTTTATGTACCGCTAAGTAATTCACCACCAAAACGCTAGGGGCTAGGATATATACCCATTCATATGTACGGTCTATGTGTATGACCAGCAGACGTATAATCTCTGAAAAGTTTAACATGAACTATCTCCAATGTGATAAAAGCACAGAACAGACTCAGCATTAGTACAACATCCCTCTATCACAGAAAGAACACACATATTACACTGAGTCGTGTCCTTTTTAAGTCCGACAGAAGCTGAACCGCATCAGCGCACAATAGCGAGCTGTTTTTTGAGCACTTTGTTTATGCAAGTTAGCCATGTGATTTTAAGTTTAGTTTTTGTAAAAAGTAAACAAATATGTGCAAATCTGCATTAAACACTACTATTTCTCAATGTATATGAAAGAAAAGAAAGCAAAGTACAGGAAATGTATGTAGTGCGGTGGTAGGGAGGACCAATCACAGCTCTTATTGTCTACGCCGCTTCCCCTGCTGTCTGCATCATTTCAACACATAGTTAGAAATAGTTAGTCGATGCAGACCCTCTGCGTCGTGACGCAGACGATTTGACGCTGGACCGTAAATTGGCCTTTAGTTTGTTTAAATGTTAAATTGTTCAGTGGTGCAGAAGTAATGGTTTAATCGACTGACATGATACAGACAGAACAGAGGCTCTTTCTGCAGGAGACATGCACAGTAGAGTGAAGTGACAGTGGTGCAGGAGGAACAGGAGCAGCAGATACTCACACACAAGACTAGAGCCTCTCGTGGCTTCAGTTTGAAATTTTTAATATATAAATTGCACTGAAGTTTAAATCACAGGAAACACCCAAACCGTGAAAAAAAGTGTGACTTATAGTCTGAAACATGATAATTTTATGTGTGAGAGACATAAATCAGTTCTTTCTGGTCAGATTATGTTCAAATAAAAACTCAGATTAAAGTGTAACTTGAGTATCAGAGCTTCAGAGCTGTTAGAGCCTCCAGTTAGATCCACACCCCCAGAGAATGTTGATGACATCAGCTGCAAAGTAAATAAAAGCAAAATAAAAAAGCGTTGTCTCTTTTACTTTGCTCTTTTATTTTGTTGTTTCCAGTTTGTAGACTTCCTCTTCTTCCCATCGTCTGTCCTTTTTCCATGTGTCTGTGCGAAGTTGAGCAGAGCACGGTAATCCTCTCCACTGCACAAGTTCCCCAGTCGCCCTGTCTTCATTTTGTGAAGCAGAACATGAAGCAGCGTTCCACTGTACAACCTGCACACAACAGAAGAAAGGGTGAAAAATGTGGAATTGGTATACTAGTATGTGGGATTAGGGTGGTGGAATAAAGTAAACATAACTAAATTAGAATAAGCGAAGGAGAAATTCAATTCTGTCAACTGGACAAAAGTTTATGATCAAAGATGTTTAGTAGCTCATCCAAGCTGCAAAACATATTCCTAAAGTTGACGTCATGGATTTCACCTATTGTGGGTTATTTTTAGAACGTAACCCCTGCGATAAACAAGGGACCACTGTAATTCTATCTTATCTTACTCTGCAATGGTCGGCTGTGGGAGAGGCTCTCCGAGCAGCTGATTCAGGAGAAAACTCTCTCTGAAACATGACTGCCATTCATTCAGCCAGTGACACCAGTCCAAGTCCAACCTCTGCCTCGAATCTGGGTCCTCGGCTGCAACAGAAAAAACAACACAGTAACACAGAGATCAGGAGTCTAACCCACAACCTCCTAACTCCTAGTAACTCTCCACTCAGAGAAATCAGTTATTTACCTGCTTTTGATCTGAGGTCACCACCTTTGCACCAGCCAATCAGCAGGGCCTTCAGCAGTGACAGGTGCGGAGGGGGCGTGGCCTCCTTTAGCCAATAGCAGGTGGCGGCCATCGGGAGTGTCAGGTGAGACAGGTGAGAGGGCAGTGACGTGTGGAACTGTGGGTCCAGTCCCAGGGCGTCCAGTAGCACCTGACGCCGCTGCTCCTCTGTTTTCTGTGGAACAGAGGATTTAATGTTGAACTATTTTGAGCTTTTTGACTTAAAAACATGAAAAACAGAATTAGTTCATTTTAAATGATTTGATGGTCTAAAGATCTTCCTCACTTCAGACTGATGTGTGTGCCACTCTGAACTGAGTTCTACACATTATTAATCTGGAGCAGCTCTTTCTGAAAGTGTTCGGAAAACACAGAACATCATGAAGACTGAATCTGATTGGTCGAAGCATCACAACAGCAGAACAAGCTGAAAAGTCAAACTTGTAACATCCAGTTAAGAGAAAGGCACAGACATCTTCCCTGTACACAAATGCACAAGTGCTTAACTTGTGCACATTTTTCACAAACTAAATATTCTATATTGAGCCTAAAATAGTTTGTTTTGTTTGGGAGCTTCAGCTTTTGACTAGTGGTCACTCCAGGTCCTGCAGCTCCCAGGAGCTTGGGCCCAGAAAGAATTATCCATCTGACACGACCTGCACTGCTCTCACAATGGTTGGATTTTGTAGTTCTTCTCTATTTTCATAACATGAACTCAAAACCTCTAAAAGTTCTAACAATGTTGTGTTATATTGACTCCACTAGGGGCAACCACGTGTTACTGTTACTTGTTACAATCACAGCATGTTGGGTGGTGCTAGCCCATGTTGAAGAAGTCATGTGAAAAAGAAAATTATTTTTAGGCCCACACAAAGCAGTGTTCACTCACCAATTCACTTCCCGAGGACAGAGTGCCGGTGCAGAGAAGAGCCAAAGTGGAGAGGTGGAGGGCTCTGAGGCCCCGTTTACACATACACGGGTATTTTTAAAAACGGACACATTTCCCTTCGTTTGTTTCCATTTTTTACACGCAAACGGCAAACTCACCTCTCAAAACAAATCTTTCTAAAAACTCCGGAGAGTGGAGATTCTGGAAAACTCCAGTTGCACGTTTGTAGGTAAAGTGAAATAAAGGGAGTTTTAGGAGCTGATGCACCGAAAGTGTGACCAATGTTTACCTTTTGCTATGATGATGACAGTGTGTGAAATACAGAGTATGCGGGGGTCCGACACCCCCGATTAACCCATCACACCCCCTAAAAAGCTTCAAAAGGAAAATTTTGAGGGGGCTAAAATTTTGTAAAAAAAAAAAATATATATATATATATATATATATATATATATATATATATATGTGTGTGTGTGTGTGTGTGTGTATGTATGTATGTATATTCCAGACACCGTCCCATACGGACCTGGACAGGGTCAGACCGATGTTCCCAATGTTCCTCCAGTTGCGAAAGGAATCCATGTTCCCCATTAACACCGCGGGTCATCCCCATCTCAAGTTTTCACCATAAACTCATAAAACAGCAGCATGTAGCCTAGAACTTTGTACGCAACTCACCGCACATCAGCGGAGCAGAAGCTCTGACTTTGGGCAACAGCGCTAAACACATGGGAGCAGTCAGCGTGCAGTCCCTCAAGACGGGGCTGCGGGTGCAGTGTTGGTCAGATCAGTCCGGAGGCTCCATCCTCCATGTCCTGGTTCCAGACGGGGGCAAACAAGACCAGCGCGCAAAGGACTGGGTCCGAGTGCTTCAGTGCCGTCATCTGCACCCTGGTTCCGTGTGAGGAAAGTGAGAATGCTCTGTGGTCTACAGGTCTGGGCGGGCTGCTCTGGTCCTCCGCACCTGACCGCGGCTGGTTCAAGGTGGTGCAAAGCATCTGGACAGAAGCGTGAATCATGAAGAGTTTGGTTCTTCATATGTTCTGAGCGGTCCGTCCGTGCACTTGTTGTTTTTCCGAGGGAAAGCGCTTCTCAGGTGGAGACACTGGACACTACTCCCCACTTCAACTCATCTCTTTCTTCTGGTGCAAACACGTTTCATGTGTTTGCATTTGCACACACAACTGATGGATCATATCCATGAGCAGAGATGAACAAGGGCTCAGAGGTCAGTGATTTTGCCACTTCTTTAACATATTTGTGGAGAGGCGAGCCCACTCACTAATGCATGTTTTTTAAGGTATTTTTGAGTAATCCTTACAACTGTAATGAAATAAATGCTACAGGTTTGAATCTAATCCAGAGGCTCGGTGTAGTTATGATGGCGCTCGATGGAGGATTTATGTGGATTGATGTAAAAGAAAACTTTTTTGAAAACGATGCTGTGTGCACGATGTTATTTTGGAAAATGGACGGAGGGAAATATTTATTTCTCAAAATACCTGAGTGTGAGTTTGTTTACCCTCTTTTGAGACTGAGCAGTCAGCGAGATAATCACTGTTCAGTTCTCCAGAACACTGCACTCCCTCAGTGGGGCTGAGGACCACCCTCACCAGCCTCTACTCTCTACTCGACCTTGAAGCTGTTGCTTTACCTGCTGTACACTGTGTGACTGGGCATTACCTGCTCTAGAGACTTGATGCAGAATGGGACCTCCTCTGGTTGGACGTTCTTGTATTGGACGTCCAGTCCATCTCTGTCACGTTCCTCCACAGTTGGGGGTCTGTCCGTCCCCAGCAGCAGCCCGTACATCACCCTCCTCAGGGGCAGAGAGACCAGGTTAACACTGGGTTTGTCCTTATGGTCCACCACCACGCTCAGACCCACTCGCTGTGAGGTCACCACATCCAGGAAGTCTGAGCTGAACTGGGCATTAGTCACTGGGACTCTCATCCAATCAGGAATCTTCCCCTCCATCTGTGAAAAGTAATCGTGCCTTTTAACCAGAGACTTACACTGGCTTTATTTTGAAAAACTGAAAAAATTTAATAAAAAATGATGCAGTGCTTGTCTGTTGCAGCTCTACGTTCAAACACAGAAAACCAGTATACTGGTGTATAGAGACATGCACATCCAACAAAAACTGTGACTGTGTGCTGGATCCAAAGACAAAAACTGTGCAAAAGAAGAAAAAGATCCACAACACAACGCCTCAGGTCAAGTCCCTCTTCAGACATGAAAAGGGGCAGGTCACTTTCTTCTTTTGCACAAACTTTTATTAATCCCAAAGAAAAAGTAATGTTCTGGTTGTGTAGCCCCCTGAGTGTAAAGTTGTCTCTGACCTGTGGGGGCAGTGGTGGGGTGATGCCCTCACTGAAGAACTCGATCAGAGGACTTGGGTCAGATGGAAGTTTGTAGTGATCGTTTGCCTCCTGGAGAGTCTTCAGCTTCTCCTCTGCCTGTGGTTGGCCCCTCAGAGCGGCCTTCATCACCTCCACAGGATCATCCTCACTCAGACCTCTGCTCAAACAAAACATTGAATACTTTTTATGGTATTTAGTGATCATCTATCATGTGGTGCAGTTCCAGTTCCAGCAAAAGTTGAGGTAGTTTTTCCACATGGTCATTCATGGTCATTGAAAGAGACTTGTTCTGCAAGGAGAAACAATCTTTAACTTCTCCACAAAGATTCTCCAAAAGCGCTACAAGATCTACAGAACAGAGTATTCCACAGAACATTCAAACAGACAGAGTTCCCTTTTTATGAGTTCTTAATCTATTACCTGATCCACTCAAGTAAAGCATGTAGTTTGGACTCCTTTTGTCTGGAGGCACCAGTCGGCAGTGGGATGTTTATGTAGTCATTTCCCGCCAAAACAGCAAAGACGGACAACAGCTGAGGGTGGATTTTATTGACGTCACAGAAGTGAGAGGAGTAGTATCTCTTACAGGGAATGCACTTCTTTCCATCACGCTGCTCCACCGCCTTCCACCTACAGGACACACCCAAAAATCTATAATAAGAACCAGATAAGACACTCCACAAGTGAGATCGATAAGTGACTGCTCTACATGTACTGCAGCTCCCTGCAGCTCTGGCCCAGAAAGAATATTCCCATAGAACACTGTTCATTTTTGTGAAATCAACCTGCCCCTGTGCGGCTGATAGGGCATCGACAGCTTTCATAAAAGCTCAGATTTTGTAGGGATTCTTCTGTATTTTTTTTTGTATTTTTACAATATAAACCAAAGTGCCCAAAAGTTTGTAAGATTTAGCCTGGCCCGGCTCTGAACCCGTGCTACCTCCGGTCTAGTAGCTAATGCTCTGATTGGTCAGAACTGCATGTTTTTCACGTTTAGTGACTGACCTTCAGTGGTGTAAGGCCAGTATTCATAAAGTAATGAAGAAGTAAGTTTAAAGAAATAGTTTGTACCATACAGCACCATCTTGGATTCATCATCCAGATCTTCTTATACTTCCCTGGACACAGCACACAGTTCACCTCTGTCACCGGTGGTCCTCCTCTCTTTTGGGATTGGATTTAGGTTCCACAATAGGATAAATTCCCAGTGGTTCAAGCCAGTTTCATAAACTGAAAATGATGTTTTGATGGAAGCTGAAACATCTTGACCACTGTTGAAACCTTCTATACATTCATGAAGCATGTGTTTATGCTTCTTTAAAGCTTGACCAGATCTCAGAAGCTAAGCCGCCCTGGGCCTGGTTAGTAGGTTTGGAACAATATTCAATATAATATTGAATCATTTGCTACTGATCTCATGATTCGATACACATGTTCATGTCCATGCACGTTGTGTTTCATTTCATGTGTGTCATTTCTTTTGGTCCGAAAGGAAGTTAATGTAGTGTCCTCCTCAGATGCAGCAGAAAACAGCTCCATAGAGACTTACAGCTGAAATATTCTAACAGAGGAGGGTTTGATCTTTCACTTCCTTTTTATTTTACGTTGATAGACTCAGGAATGACAAAGATATGAATTTTTAATACTTTAGAATTGCTTTTAGCTTCACATCAGCTTTAACCAAATGCACTCATACACACATCCACGACGCCACTCGCAATATACACGATCTATTTCTCATAAGTTTGAAAGAGGATGGGAGAGCGCAGTGTGTCTGTAATAGCACAGACTGCAGCAGGGCATTGTGGGAGGAGCTACGTACTGTCGCTGCTGGAGGAGGCAGAGCAGCTCCAACACAGACATGAGACGTGTGCACACAGAGGACTCAGGACAGAAATCATCACCTCATCATCAAAAAAGGAAACGTCTGATAGTGTAGCTCCCCTACACTCTATATTAAGAATCGATTGGCTATATTATAAAATATTAAATAGTCTGACAAAGCTCTGTTCTTATTTTCACTGAATAAAAATTCTGAGCTGTAAATCACTGAACCAAATCAACTAAAACAGATATAAAATACAACTGTTCTACTGTAATACATTGTATGTGTGTGTTTGTGGTATGTATCGTTTCATTAACATCAGTGTTATTATATTCAACTCATTAGCAGAAAAAAATAACATGAGTTTTTTTTCTGTGTGTCATAAAACGTAACGAATCAATATCAAGATACGTATCGAATCGTGGAAAAACTGTATCGTTGCATCTTTAGTTGTTACTTTAGATGGTGTCACAGCAGCACACCAGTGGCAAAAAGTTGTTTTGTCCTTAGGCAAGACACTTCAACCACATTGTCTAGTATGAATACGATGTGTGTAAGTGTCCCAGGGCAGCTGTGGCTACAATAGTAACACCACCATAGTCTGTATATATAAATGGACACAGCTAATGTGCTAGCCTCTTTGTTCCAAATGATAAATGATGATGGACGCACTTCCGACTCAGTCGACTCTGGCTCCACTACACTTCACAATGAAAAACTGTCAGCCTTCTGTCTGTAACTGCAGCAGTGAGTTTCATCATTCTGGTCTTAAAATGTTCATATTCATCTGTTCTACATGATCCTGTCTTTTTTGTGTGTGTTCATCAAGATATGAACATTAATAACAGACAAATCTGACACAGAGGTCTTACGCTCTACATATTATCAATCTGGAAAGGCTCTCACTGAAAGTGTTCAGAAACAGCGGAACGTCATGACGACTATTTGAATCTGATTGGTCAAAGCGTCACAACAGAGAGATGAGGCGAAAAATCTAACTTTTGTTCCATCCAGTTGTGAGAAAAGCACAGACCTCATCCCTGTCCACAAATGCACAAAGTACTTACATTCTGCATGTTTTTCACAAACTAAATAGTCTGTACTGACGCTAAAAGAGGCTAAAGTACGTCTGTCGGCGTTGTCATGTTTATTTTGGTTCATTTTGGCGCTTTGCCTTTTGGCTTCTGCACAAACCTCACTGCTGCTCTGTGATGATCCACCCTCCTGATTAACTGTACAGCAGGTGCACTCCAAGATGGATTCTTGTGAGTTTGTGAACTCACAAACATTGGAAGAATCCTTGCTATGCCAGGTTAGCTCGCACTAGCAACAAGTTTGATTGCAACGTTGCCAAGCATCCGCTCAATATTAAACCAGCGGTGCATGTGGGAAGGGGCGTTTCCTTCAACAGCCTCATTCTGGATTGGCTCTGGTTGTTGTCATACTCACAGTTGGAAATCCAAATATGGAGATTGGCTCCAGATTCTCCCCTATAACTGTAGCCTCGATGAGCTTCATTTGACTGGAGTTGAACACTATGGGTGATGTCACACTCATTTAGTCCACTTCTTTAACAGTCTATGATGAATGATTAATGCTGTAAAGCACTTTGGGTGTCTTGAAAAGCACTTTATAAATGTATAATTACTGTAACACATTATATTGTTCTATTCTAAAACAAAACACAATGTACTTGTATATTTCTAAGTTTTGTAAAAGGGAACTCCAGAGAAGCTGCCTTATCTTATAAAAGAGGCGCCTGACACAATAACAAATACATCGACATGGTTTACAATTTAATCTACTAATAATACTTACAAGTTTTTACAAAGTATTACTCTATACCTAACATCACCAACATCTACGGTGAACAGAGTGGTACAAATAACTCGAATAACTGGCCCTATGTTCCCCTGACCTAAGGCCAAAAGGACACCTCTGATGTTTGTCCTTCTGGTGCTACAGGTCAGACCTCAGAATGTCCAGGAGCTCAGTGATGTTCTGGTCCAAATTTGGTAGGACACACGTGTGTACAGAAGCACAGGGATTCATGTAAACTGTGATACCAGGTCCATAGATCTGTGTTCATTTAATCTCAAACTAAATTAGTGCATCTTTACTCCTTCTTTCCTGGAATGTAAAACTCTCTAAAGTGACTGACTAGTCCCTTTAAAAAGAAACACTGGTGCAGAGGAAGTGTTACCTGAAGTGTTCAGTGGGCAGCATTCCTCCTGTAAGGGGGAAGATGAAGAAGTCACTGTCGACGGAGAGCACAGGACAGGCCCACTCTTGAGCCAGTGCTGCCACCTAGAGGTGAGATTATCATTGTGAAAAAACATGTCAAATACATTAGTGGCACAAATCAGTCATTTTAAGACCGTAAAGTGCAAATTTAAGCAGAGAAAAGAACTGGTTTGAAAGAGAAGTAAAGGAAGCTATTTTTATGAAGATAGAGAATCCCTCTTGAACTCCTTTACGGATGACAGTGGCAGAAGTCCTCAGAGGTCAGAGTCCTTGCTTAGACTTTTTAAGTAAGTGTGCCTTGCTACACTGACATTTGAGGAGTGCGGGTGTGGGAGAGGCACAGGCCTCTGGAAAGAATGAGCATGAAGTCTATTTTTGCTGAAATTATAACGGCTTGAGGGTAAAAACTCTTCCGGAGTCTGGTGGTCCTGGCCTGTAGGTGGCGCAGTCTTCTGCCTGATGGAACAGCAGTATAAATGTCCTGTGCTGGATGAGTGGAGTCCTCCAGATGTTCTCTACAGAGCTTTCTTCTCTGCCACGGTGCTGCTGAAGCACACAGTCATGTTGTCATGTTGGAGGTGAGGATGTTCTCCACCACACAGACCGTCAGGACGGAGGGGCCGCTGTGACTGAACTATCAGTGTGGGTCTGCAGTGTGAATATGAACTTTGGGGTATATTTTGTTTTTGTACAAAGTTAAAAAGTTACACTGGCAGTGTTTCACACAATTTATGTATTTTGCTTTTTAAATTTATAAAAAATTGCAAAATGTTATTTATTAACTTTTCATTCTTTCCATTGACATGCTGAGTCCATTACCTCAGATAATTAACCCAGTCAGCCAGTGCATTCTCAATGCCACATACTGAAAATCTGAATATATGTGATCATTCAATAATTATATATTTTTTACTCTGATTATTATTTGTGTCACTGTCACTATCAGTGTGGATATATAATGGGAAGACTGACTTTGGTGCATTTTTTGGTTTTTTTTCACAAAGCTGGATTGTCCATAGACTCCCATTATAAAATGCCCATTTTGACAGTCCCCTTTTATTAAAAACCTAAAAAAGTTTAAGGAAACAAGTGTGGCGGGGTATTCTATTTGATTTTTTACTTTTTATAATTAAGACACTGCCATTAGATGCGCTGATAACATGGTATAAATTGTGACACTGAATAGACATTTGTTTGAGCCTCACCTAAATTATTGCAGTGTGCTATGATATAACACCTATCCTACAGAGACTCAAAACACCAAGTATTACAAAAGAAAGCCACGAGAGCAATCACCTGGTCCTGGTGAAATGTTTAAGTTTAATCCCATATTGTAAAACATTCCAGGCAAAGTGTAACATCTCCATGGAGATTATGCAGAGAACGTTGAAAACAATTTCATTTGTAGGGTGAACAAACAGTTTTACTGCAGCCTTTTATTATACCTGTGCCTAATAATAATCATGGCAATGAAAGCACATGATATTGTCAATACTAATCCCCCACCTGTTGATCGGCCTCGGTGTAGCAGCGAGCCAAAGGGATACGCAGGTCCTCCAGTGTCTGTCTGAACACCTCCCAGATGAGGGTTGGCAGGATGCCCGTGGCCTTCCCCGTCTCCACAGCGTTGTGGGCTCTCTCAATGCGCTGTTTCCCTCGCTCTCTCTCCGTGTCACATTTCTGTTTGTCCGAGCAGCCATCGAACACCACGTACGGAGAGATGTCGCACTCTTTCAGTGCCCCAAAAAACTGCTCCACCAGTTCCTTGAAGGCACCGTATTCCCCCCCATGGTTCTGATCCAAGCCTGAGCAAAGACACAGGACTGTTACATTAAGTAGGATATAGAATGCATATATAACATAAGATATTTAATGCATATATATTGTAGATTGCTCAAGAAAAAAAACCAAAAAAACTGGGACCCACAGGCGCTCGATGGCACGCATCTGGAGACCAGACCTTCCCTGAAGGGACCTCGCCAGGCACAGCCCAAACGAGTGACGTGGAGTTGGCCTATCATGGACTCACCACCTGTAGGAGGATCCGTAAGGGGCCACTGCAAGGAGATCTGTGTGACATTGGAAGGCAAGGGCCTCGGCAACCAGCTTTCCAGACTTGGAAACTATCTCTGGGGACATGGAATGTCACCTCACTGGGAGGGAAGGAGCGTCCAGCTTGAGTTCTGGAACCCAACTCCCTGAGAGGGGCTGGACTCTCCATTTCTCTGGCATTACCCGCGGGAAGTGGTGGAAAGCTGGCTCATTCCCTCTACAGCTCAGGCGCCATGTGTCTGAGTTGAGAGCCCAGTGAATGAGAGGGTCGGGGACAGGTCTCTTACTGTTGTGTCAGCGAGTCCACCTGGAGAGGGGTGAACGGCGTCCCTGATCTAAACCCAAGCCGTTACTGAACTTCTGTGCTCGTCACGGTTTGTCCATAACGAACACCCTGTTCAAGCAAAAGGGCGTCCATCAGTGTACGTGACACCAGGACACCTTTGACTGGAGACTGATTACTGACTTGGTCATCATATCATCTGGACTTCGGCAGCGTGTCTCGGGTGAAGAAAGGGGCAGAACTGTCAACCAATCACCACCTGGTGGTGAGTTAGGTCCACTGGCGGAGGAGGAAGATGGAAAGACCTGGCAGGCCCATGTGTATAATAAGGGTCTGTTGGGAACGTCTGGCAGAGCCCTCTGTCAGGGCGACCACAGCTCTCTCCCAGATTCTGGGGGAGTCCGAGTGAACTATTGCTGATGTGGCCTTTCGTAGCTCTGGTCGTAAGGTGCCTGTCGCAGTGGTGGTGGCTGCTGGAAGTAAGTGATGCAATCAGTCGAAGAAGAAGTCCTAGAAGAGAAGAAGGAGCCAAGCGTGCTGCGGCCCGTGTGGGCTGGGAGGAGTGCGAAGAGGTCGTGGAGGACTAGTAGTCGGCCTCAAAGGAGGCTGACGCCTCAGGAAGGGGAAGCAATGCTTCACCAACACTGTTCAACACAGTACAGTGCGGGGGCAGAGCTGTTGACTTCGACTGAGGATGTTGTCAGACAGTGAAAGGAATACTCAATCCTACTGTCACATCTTCTGAAGAGGAAGCAGAGGCTGGATTTGTCCATCACCTCTGGACTCACAGATTGGGGTGGTGGTCCCTCTGTATAAGAAGGGGACCGGAGGGTGTGTTCCAATTACAGGAGAATCACACTCCTCAGCCTTCCCGGTAAGGTCTATCCCAGGGTACTGGAAAGGAGAATCAGACCGACAGTCAAACCTCGGATTCAGGAGGAGCAGTGTGGTTTTTGTCCTGGCTGTGGAACACTGGAGCAGCTCTACACTCTCCATCGGGTGCTCGAGGGTTCATGGGAGTTTGCCCAACCAGTCCACATGTGCTTTGTGGATCTGGAGAAGGCATTCGACCGTGTCCCTCGTGGTGTCCTGTGGGGGGCGCTCTGGGAGTATGGGGTTGGGGCCCTTTGTTAAGAGCTGTCTGGTCCCTGTATGACCAAAGCAGGAGCTGTGTTCGCATTGCCGGCAGTAAGTCAGACCTGTTCCTGGTGCATGTTGGACTCCGCCAGGGCTGCCCTTTGTCACCGGTTCTGGTCATTGTATTTATGGACAGAATTTCTAGGTGCAGTCAGGGGCTGGAGGGGGTCCAGTTTGGGGACCACAGCATCTCATCTCTGCTGTTTGCAGATGTCATGATTGCTCTATCAAACCAGGACCTGCAGCATGCGCTGAGGAAGTTTGCAGCCAAATGTGAAGCGGCTGGGATGAAGATCAGCTCTTCCAAATCCAGGGCCATGGTTCTTGACCAGAAAAAGGTGTCTTGCCCTCTGCAGGTGGGTGGAGAGTCTTTGCCTCAAGTGGAGGAGTTCAAGTATCTCGGGGTCTTGTTCATGAGTGAGGGGAGGATGAAGCGGGAGATTGACAGGCGGATCGGTGCAGCATCTGCAGTGATGTGGTCGCTGTATCGGACCATTGTGGTGAAGAGGGAGCTGAGCCGAAAGGCAAAGCTCTTGATTTAACGCTCAATCTATGTTCCTCCCCTCGCCTATGGTCATGAGCTCTGGGTAATGACTGAAAGGACGAGATCGCTGATACAAGCCCTCAAAATGAGTTTCCTCTGCAGGGTGGCTGGGTGCTTCCTTAGAGACAGAGTGAGGAGCTCAGTCACACAGGAGGAGCTTCTCCACATCAAGAGGAGCAGCTGAGGTGCCTCAGGCATCTGCCCCCTCTTTTAATGGAAATAACATTTTCAGTTTACAGACGGCTTAATTTTATAGACACCCTGATGATCCAGTGTCCTGACTCTTGACTCATTACGAAACGATGAGAAGAACAAACAGCACAGAACTAAAGTCTAAAGTCTCGTTTCTGATCCAAACCAACTCTACTCTGTCCCAGCGAAGGACCAGCAGGTTTCATGTTTGCTTCATAAATTGTGCTGAGAGACACATGGGGTGTAGGCTGACCTGAGGAGCTCTGTGGAGATTCTCTGAATGTGGTCATGTCTATTAATGGGTGTGATTGGCACAAAAACAACAAATATGATTCTGCGTTAAGAACAAGTGGTTCTTAAAGTGTGAGTCAGGTCCCAGAGGAGAGTGAGTTAAACTCAAAATATATATTTTTCTTTGTTTGTTTTTGGCTCAAATAAAACTAAAATTTCATAGAACAGATGAAATGTGGAGAATTTTATAAAATGGCAGCCCCGATGGTGCAACATATTAATGTTGCGGCAGAGCGCAGTCTCCTGTGTGTGCGTGCGTGTGCGCGTGTGTGCGTGTGCGTGTGCGTGCGCGCGTGTGCGCGCGCGTGTGCGCGTGCGTGCGTCCTCTGCTCTGCTCCTCTGGTTCTGTCAGTCCTGCACCTGCGCCTTTCTTTTTATTTTCGCAAATAAACTCGCACCTGAGAACACACACTGTGCCACACACACACACACACACACACACACACACACACACACACACACACACACACACACACACCTGCATCCCTGACATTTTCACATCTCATCAAATGATCTTAAATGTAGCCTATTTATTATTACTTCTTTTTCTCTAAATAAACATTATTGTTTGTGCTGTGTATTTTTAGCTGAGAGTTTTAGTCAGTAATAGTTTTTTTGTTTTATTACCTCTGTGCTAAACATTCCTTCAGTACATCATTTCTCCCGAACCACCATCTCCATGAATCAAACATTTAACAGAATTAGCCACAAATCTCACACGCGCTCACCTGAAGTAAAATAAAGGTGATAAACCAGATTGGATCCGTCTATCACCAAACGTCCTGCGCAGAACCATTCCTCCTTGTAAATGTTCTGACTTTTTATCAATCCTGTCATGTTTCTGACCCCCATCTTCTCTTCTGTGGCCCGGGGATGAAGTGCCTGTAGTGCGTCTGATATCACATATTTATTAACACTGCCAACTTTAGGGCGCGTCTTTTCCTTCAGTTTCGTTTTTGAGAAACAGAGAGAGAGAGAGAGAGAGAGAGAGAGAGAGAGAGAGAGAGAGAGAGAGAGAGAGAGAGAGAGAGTTTCCAAATTATCTATTTAATAAACCAGGAAAAATACAAACAATCATGAGATTCTGTTTAGTGCAGGTTTGCGCACATTTGTCATTTATTGAAGTCAGCTACTGTTGATGAAAAGACTGAGAGGAGTAAATCAGTCAGCGCTGTAGTGGAGGATGGTGCGCTTGTTGTAGTCCTGTAGTCTTTTTGTAGTTTTCTGGGAGTTGTAGTTCTGACTGTTTGAGGAGGATCCGGGTTGATCTAGAGCAGCTCTTGAGCTCTTTCTCCTCACTGCTCCTTCCTCCTCCTCGGTCCCTAGACTTGACCTCACGTTGCTCTCAGAGGTCAGCGATAAGGAGAAGTAAGGACAAGGAAGAAGGAATTTTTGCACTTTTTCGGCTGGAGCTCGAGTTTTGCCGAAGCCTTTTTATTTTTATTTTTTTTTGGACGCATGCGCACTCAACTGTGTTGTGTTATGTTGTTGCACTCGGGACACTGCGTGTACACGCCACAGTATCCCGGTTACTATTGAATATCCCAGCTACAATCAGTGTTGGGAAGGCGACTTTTAAAATATATTCCCCTACAGATTACAGATTACATACCCCCAAATGTAGTTTGTAACGTAATCCATTAAATTACTTAAAGTGAGTAATGTAATCTGAATACTTTGGATTACTTGATTTGCTGTAGAGAAGCAAAGACTAGGATATCGTAACATAAGATGTTTTGTCTGATAAAAGAAAATAAAAAGCCCGAACTTTATTTAACCAAATTAAAAATATTATTGATAGAAGAAGAGGAGACACAACCACGCAGCATGATTTAATCCTGTTAAATCCTGGTTTAGTCCTGGTTTAGACCTGGTTTGAGATCTGGTTTTAGACCTGTTTTAGATCTGGTTTAGATCTAGTTTAGACCTGGTTTAGTTTGCGGCAATGAATGGAATTACCGAAAAAAGAAAAGGGAGATATAACCCAAAATGTGAAAACAGGAAAATACTGCATTGTAATCCATTTATTTCAACCAAGTAACTGTAATCCAATTACCACTCACTGAAACAGTAACTGTAACTGAATACAGTTACTCATAATTTGTACTCTGACTCCGGTACATGTAATCTGTTACTCCCCAACACTGGCTACAATATCCCAGTTTGTCATAACCGAGATACTGACTTATTCAGGATACTGTGTTTACATGCACCATGACGAAACCAGGATACTGAAAAAACAGGATCATAACCCAGATACTGATCGATGTGCATGTAAATACACAATGAGCCCAAATGAGCTGACAGACTGGACTTCAGATGGACCTGTTCAAACAGCTGTGTTTAGTCTGTTCAAACTGCACTCGTTCTAATAATGGAAATTCTAATTCAAGGGGAGAATAAAAAGAAGCAAAGTTAAGTGAGACACCGTTTTTATTTTGAAAATGTTTCTCAGCTGAGCAGATTCTGTTTGTCTTTTCATTTCCGCAGTGTTGAAGGTGTGAGATGAAAGCAGATACTGACACATGAACATCAGTATGGAGCCTGATGTAAAGAAGAAAAGCAGGTGATGTACAGGAAGTGATGCGTGCTCTGTCACACTCCTTTGAGTTGGACGAGTCAGCACGATGGAGTGGACAGTCTGGACTTTTTATGTAAACTTTTAGTGTGTTTCTCACTTGTGCTTTACCTGAGAAATGTTAAATGGTCAAATCTTGTTTTCTTTATATTCATGACATATTTTCATATTTTCAGAGCAACTCCAGAGGTAAGTGCCATTTCTGAATCAGCCTGAGCCGAGGTCCAGAGAAGTGTCCAGAGTAAACTGTGGATCGAGTACAACTTGTACTGCAGTATTTATTCATCAGGGCACATTCAAAATGAACCTGTTTGTTTAATACTTTGGTCTTTGTTGTAAAATGTATTTAGTTTAAAATAAAGTGAATTTATTTTTGTATCTGCCATAAGTGTTTGGCAATATTAGTATGACATTTAATAAAATACACAAAATAACCTAAAACACACAAGAGCCTGACTGTACTTCTAGGCTCACTTTCTCTTGGAGCCAATACACTGATCATTGACATTCAGTAAAACTAAAGTTGTACTTTTTATTCATCATGTAATGGTCGATAATACTGAGTGAGATTCAACTGAACAGATCTGATAGATTTTATAAACAGATTCTGTGATGTTTTATCTCACTACAGTCCATATAAACATACAGAGGAATATGTTTGTGTCTTCTTTGCACCACATTTGAGATGGATCACTGTTGAATTGTACTATAGTTTAACAATACAATAAGGTGAAAAAACACTGCAATGTTCTGGTGTTTTTAACTCAAATAAAAATTCAATATTGTAAAAAAAAAAAAATTGCTGCAATTTTCTGTCATTTGCTGTATAGTACTACTGTCAAATATTATAGTAACACCACTGTAATCGTTAGAGCTGAGGAATGGCTCTCGCACTGTGCCTGTATAAGACTCATGCTGCCTCTGGATCAGTCCACTCCCAGCCCTGCACCTGCATGCCCTCACATGACCTGACAGATACAAGTCATCTCTGTTCAAATAGCATGAAATAGTAACTGATGGAACATTCTAGACAATAAACATGATAGCAAATGAAATATTTAATGTTAGGTTAGGTCGCTTTATTCATACCCGTTGGTAAATTTATTTTGCAGATTCAAGAGGCAGGCTCCACATTTCACATTCATTCATCCACATTATGTACAATAAATATGTATAAAAAACACAATTCCAAAATAAAGTGTTACAGAGCTCCAGTGCAGAATGGTTTGTTCCATAAACAATTAGTTAAATTCATCCATCACGCTTGGCTAAAATGACAATAAATATGAAATATATTAAGAACACACAATCTTTAGATAAATAGATTACAATTTATTCTTAAGTATGATAGCAGCTGGAACAAATCAAATCATCTTTTAAAGCGATTCGTTCTAGATCTTGGGACTCTGACCAGAGGGAAGCAGCTGAAACTCTTGAGTTTAGTGGATGTTGCACGGCTTTTAAAATCCTCTGGGACATTCTCTGTAAGTGTCTTGAGAACAGAGAGTCCAGCGGCTCTGAGGATGAACAATCACTGAACTCGCCCATTTAACCAACTGATTCAGGGAGTTCTTGTTTTTAGCAGAAATGCTGCCAAACCACGAGACCAATGAAAACGTTAAAATTGATTGCATAAATGTTTTATAAAACAGTGTCATTATGGTTCTGTTTACACGGTAAAAGGAAATCGTTCTCAGACAATGAAGACGCTGGTGCCTCTTTTACATACAGCAGCAAAATTATCGTCAAAACTCAAGTTTGAATCAAAGATGTTCCAAGATATGAGTCCACACACTCAACTGACTGCCCCTTTATATGTGTGACATCACACTGAGGCGCTTGCTTTTGATGACACCATCTGGTCAGAAAGGACACCATTCACTCTTACTCTTTGTATCCCAGTGAGGTGCAATAAATAGAAGCAAAGAGTTAAAAAGAAGCAACAAAGAAAGAGAATTGAACTGAATGAATGAACTGAGCACCTTTTTGCTTAACCTTAATCCAAATGGAAATATAAGTATGAAATGTTCCTCTCCTCATGATCTGGATGTGTTAGATTGTTAGATGTTACATTTACAATGTGTCTCCATGTACTGGTGTTTCCAGTGCCTGTAGGAGTCTATGTTTTTGTTAAATGACACAACTGACATCTACGTACTTCCTGTTCTATTTGAGCATGTACAGCGGCCTCGTCTTTCATATGTACTTTTGCCTTATATGCATATTGTTTGTATGAAGTGTTCATGTGTACAGTCCCATTCTGCTCATCATAAACTATAAATGCTGATGGTCTCTTTTGTCTGTATGTATGTAACATGGAACATCATGATATTAAACTTCTTTCACACAACTATTCATCTGGCTATGGCGTCAGTTGTGATCAACCATATTCTCTCGATATCAGAAAATCCAGATTCATACTATCATAATATACTGATAATTAAGGCAGGTGTGTCAAACTCAAATTCACAGAGGCCAAAATTAAAAACTGTCGTGGGCCAAACTAAATATTTATTGAACATTTTCAACATCTGCATGTTTTCTCTTCTTTTGAGATATGTGATGTTAAACCTTTTCTTATTCAAACAAATGTTTAATAATAGTTTTGCTTAAACACTGAATCCAGAACAATCAGAATATAAAATAATAACATTTTAAATTAATAATATTTCTATAGTCGATATATCTGTAGCCAGCAGCCAGCTCTAATACATATTTGATATGATCTTATGGACCAAATATAGTGGGCAAAATTTGGCCCCCGGGCCTGAGTCTGACATGTCTGGCTTAAGGAGTATTCATAAGGTCACAACCAACCAGCTCTGAAAAGAGTACTGCACATTTGTACTAAAAGTATAGTTACACGACTAAAAATGTACTCATTTACAAGTTGGACTAAACCAGGACTAAACCAGGACTACACCAGGACTAAACCAAGACTTAAACCAGGACTACACCAGGACTACACCAGGACTAAACCAGGACTACACCAGGACTACACCAGGACTAACCAGGACTAGGACTAAACCAGGACTACACCAGGACTAAACTAGGACTAAACAGGACTACACCAGGACTAAACAGGACTACACACTAGGACTAAACCAGGACTACACCAGGACTAAACCAGGACTAAACCAGGACTACACCACCAGGACTAAACCAGGACTACACCAGGACTACACCAGGACTAAACAGGACTACAGGACTACACCAGGACTAAACCAGGACTACACCAGGACTACACCAGGACTAAACCAGGGACTACACCAGGACTAAACCAGGACTACACCAGGACTAAACCAGGACTAAACCAGGACTACACCAGGACTAAACCAGAGGCCTGTCGCTAGAATCTGGTTTAATTTACTCACAGTTGTGGAGTAACTTTTGAGTTATAAAGCCAAACTAAAGTCACTGGTGCGTGCAGCTGCTGCAGCACGGATCAGGAAGAGACGGGCAGGGCTCAGCCAATAGGAGTCATGCTCGAGGGAAGGAGGCGGAGCTATGTCAGAGGCACAGGTGGAGGTGAGTGCAGCAGCAGTATAACAAAAAAAAAAAAAAAGTGGTAGCATTTTTTTTTTATAAGTTCACACAAAATGAACATTACGTTATAGGTGCATTGTGTAATTTTTCTGGTGGAGGGTTCGTCACCTGCTTGTTTCCATGGAGATGTCATTGCTCTGTCTGGAATGTTCCACAGTATCACATTAAGCTGTTCTATGTTACATTTAATCAATTCCAGGTGGTTTTATAACTCAAAAATACCTAGAAAAACAAACATTCTGACTGTGAGCGAGGTCTCCTCTCCACAGATCTGACCTGTAACTCAGTCTGGTTTATTCTCCCTGAAGATAGAAAGGTTTAATGCCAGACTGTGAAACATTCCAGACAAAGCAATAACATCTCCATGGAGAAAAGGATTTGACCTATTTTGACTGTCTGCTCTATAGTTATAAAAGTTACACCCATGGATCATCATGTTATAGTTTGGACATTTTATATTGTCATATTGATCTTAAACAACTTCATCAAAAAAACAAAAAAACAAGTCCATGTATATTTCTGCAGAATCAACAATCAAAGCACCAAACTATAACTCTTCTGTCAGGTAGAAGATGTTGTATATTTTGATCTGAATGTTACAAGAGTTTGAGAGATTAAGAGACGTGTGATACAAACAAGCGGCTGTGGTTGGATCGTCCCAAGTTAGGACAAAGATTTTTATGCTCTATGGTTTGATTCCAGAGCACCAGAGCATCGGGGCGACCACACAGATCACAGAGCAGAAGGTGGATTGGAAAGTCGTCTGTGCTTTTGTTTGTGTTGTGACTCTTGGCCCAGTCGTCTTTATGTTTTCACTCACATGTTCCCAGTGTTTTTTAGGGAGAGATTACAGATTTATAAAATCTAGAACTCCTCTTCTGTAGGTGCTGTTGGTGATCACAATAAATGCACTGCACAATTTTTATCTAGATCTTTAATCTAGATTTATATACATCCAATTTTGTAGCATTATCTAAGGATCATCTTGACTTGACACAGTGAAACAGTTTGACACACGAGTGACTTTGCAGTATAGTGTGTACAGTATGAAGAAATACATGAAATACTTTCACTTTAAACATCATTGAAGTATAATTGAATACAAAGGTATGCAGTTACAGCATTCTGCCTTTAGAGGGCAGTATTGTGAAGGACTGGAAAACAACATCTGCACCGACCTTTACAAACTGACTGATGAACCTGTAAAATATCGATGGAAAAACAAATACCCTTAAACTCAGGAAATTTACTTCAATGAGAAAATCTTCTATTGGACTTTATAAACTTAAAAACATGAAACAGTGGATTTGGACTGAAATGTTCAATCTTTTTATTTTATTATCCTTTCTTTTTCTTTTTCTTGAGTTATTATTGCATTGATGTTGGTGGTGGGGGTGGTAACAGTTATTGCTGTTGTGGTTGGTCTGATCATTGTTTTATTTATCTATTTTATTTATTTGGGAATAAGAATAAGAATGTTGTTATTATTGTTATTAATCCTGTTGTCGTCATTATTATTTTATATGTATGTGTGTGTATGTATATGTATGTGTGCATATGTATATGTACATGTGTGTGTATATATACGTGTGTGTGTATTTGTGTATATGTACATGTGTGTATGCATGTATGTATATGTACGATATGTATGTGTGTGTGTGTATGTATGTATGTGTACATGTGTGTGTATATGTATGTATATGTTTGTGTGTGTGTGTGTGTGTTTATTTTCTTCTAAATTATTATGGATTTATTCATTAAGTGTCTTTTGTTTTAATGTTCTGTGTCATGTAGAAAAAAGATCTTGAAGCTTTACTTTTCTGTCCAGGTAGAATCGACGGCAAAAGGAGAAATTCACTTTGTCGACTGAACTAAAGCAAAACTGAAGAAGCAGCTTTGATGAGCTGCGAAACGTATTCGACCAAATAAACTCTCCTTTCTCCTTTTGCTTTTCTGTCAGGTGAGCACCTCTGTCCTCGAGTATGTCTGGGTGGGAGTGACCGTGAGGATGAACAAAAAAATAAAATAGAAAAAACATACAAAATATTATATAGACTTAGATTTTATTTTATTGGTCCACAAGGGAACTTATTTGGACACACAATGTAATATATAATATAATTGAACATAAGAACAAAGAGCAAAGATATAAATGGAAATAATAAATTCAAAGTAGCAAAACAAGTGACTGGAGTGATGATTGTATAAATGCATGTGTACAAGTCCAACTAAAATATAGAAATATAGTTGTAATACAAATATATATGTATGTGTGGCTGTTTACAAGAGGAGGGTAAATAGAAAAGACCAAACAGAGACTGACATGACATGAGTGAGTATTTAGAAATATCATATCATTTCAGTTGTTTTTGTCTTTTGTTCAGTGTTTATTAAAGGTGACAGCAATGCATTCCACTCTTCTGTTGCTTTGTAAATAAAAATGAATTTGAGATTGTTAGTATTTGAGAATAAATAGCACAAGATACAAACTGCATGAATCATAATAAAATCCAAAACTTGATCTCAGCCCTAAAAGATTGTGGGATTGACGACAAAACGATACCCCTACCCCTGATACCAAAGATTTAAAAACTGACTCTGTAGATACTTTGCAGTGATATTCATGCTGGGGGTGTTCTACATGTAAGTCTATAGTGGCATGTTCAGTAGTTACTATGGTGACTTAATACATGCATTAGGAACAGTGTCAAAAAAAGTGTTCAAGTTGTGTCATTTTCAGAAGCCTGTGATCAATCCATTATTTATTTATTTATTTATTTAATTTTATTTTTGAGTGATTGAGGTGAGTCTGACTAAACTGAAAAAGAGTTGGCTGTTGATAGTTTGTGAGTGCACCGTATTTTTCAGACTATAAATATCCGGAGTATAAGTCGGCCAAAAAATGAGTAATGAAGAAAAGAATAAATAAAAACCACTGGGACTTTGGCTTTGGAGCGCAGTATTGACAACATCTCTGAGAGACTTGAAGCTTTACAAAGGCTGGTGTGTAGACCTTGAGACCAAGAAACAATCAGATCTGCTGTGAAAAGAGCAGCTGCTCCTCCCAAAACCAAAACATGATGAATCTGATCTGTTGGCCTCCCCCAGCCAACACTGGCCTGGTCAAGATCTGGTCTGGTCTTCAACTCATCTGGGAGAGACTGGAGCAGGAGGGGGGGGGTTTCCTCCTCCCCAACTTTCTCTACGCCCTCGCAGCTTTTGTCTCACCCAGAATTGGCGGGTGGGTCTGTTGTATCCAGCGCCCCCTGGCTGCAGGATCTAGAGGCTGCCTGTCTAGATTTTGGGGTCGACTCCACTTCCCTCTCCTCCTGCTGCTTTAGTCTTCTCCTTATGTCTGTACTGTGTTTTTGTTGTATGTGCTGATGTTGCAGAGGGGTTTCTTTTTTCTTCATGTACTGGTTCCAGAGAGTTAGTGTCCCAGATTCCAGACAGTTAGTGTAAGTTTCCAGATTCCAGGTAGTTGTAAAAAAAAGATAATTATGTCACAGAAAGTCAAACTGTTCATCTTAGCTTTGTGTGGGGGGTGGAAGGAAATGTGGGATTATGTTTAATCACTGTAAAGCACTTTGTGTTGCATTTTTTTGTATGAAAAAGTGCTCTATACATAAAGTTTGATTGAGTGATTCATTGATATAAGTCACACTGGAGTATAAGTCGCAGGAGCATCCACACCATGAAAAAAGTGTGATTTATAATCTGAAAAATAAGGTAATTTTATGTGTGAGAGACATAAATCAACTCACCTGTTGTAGTTCCAACTAAGTCGGTTCTTTCTGTCAGATAGTGTCAAAATAAAACTCAGATTAAAGTGTAACTTGAGTATCAGAGCTTCAGAGCTGTTAGAGCCTCCAGTTAGATTCACACCCCCAGAGAATGTTGATGACATCAGCTGCAAAGTATCAATAAAAGCAAAATAAAAGAGCCTTATTCCACATCTTTCTCATTGTCTGGCCTTTCTGCATGTATCTGTGCGATGGCGAGCAGAGCACGGTGATCCTCTCCACTGTACGAGTCAAGTCTGACAAACTTCTCCAGTCGCCCTGTCTTCATTTTGTGAAGCAGAACATGAAGCAGTGTTCCACTGTACAACCTGCACACAACAGAAGAAAGGGTGAAAAATGTGGAATTGTTACACTTGGCATTAGAGTGGTGGATTAAAGTAAATATAACTAAATTGGAATAAGCTAAAAAAAAAAGAAAAAATCCATTAAATCCATTGGCATTTATTATGTTCCAAAATGTTTTGAAGTTGCTTCTGTTTCAGTTTGTTTATGGTTAAAAAATAGTTTCAGCTTCAGTTGGTCCCAACAGATTTCATATAAATCAGGGTCTGTGACATATTTCCTTTGTTACATCAATATCAAAAGAAAAACATAATTTAAAGAGCCCATCTCATGCAAAATCCACTTTTCAGAGCTTTCTACCTTCTAAGAGTGATGTGTGGGTCTTGTATTTGTCGCCCAAGTGTTTTTTAGATTGATTCTGCTTTTTTTTTTTTAAACAAATTGCAGCGTATTTCCCACCCTCCCACGTGACAACAAACTAAAGCTGCTACAACAGTAACGCGGCAGATTCACCTATGACGCGTCTGACGTAGCAGAAAACCCTTCGCACACGACCCCCTCCCCCGCTCCACCGCCTCGCCCCGCCTCCACCCACTCACACACCGTCCTACGTCTGCACCGTACAGGTCTGCTCTTCTGTGTTATTTATCTTTATTTTACACTTCAAACACGCTTTGTGTAACCATGTCCTCGTGGAGAAAATGTGTATTTGGCATGCTGACAAAAGCAGCAAGGTGTGCTACGTGTCTGGATTTTTTTCTGGGAACACAGACAAAAAGGTCCCCAAGAATATTTTTGTTTGCGAGAGACACTTCACCAAAGATGCTTCGAAAACTACGGGTATTTTAAAATTGGACTTACAACGAAGCAGAAGCGACACTTTGGAAAAGGATGCTGTTCCCACGATACCAGGGTCCAGTGATGGAGATCCTAGATCTGTAAGTTTACCGCTAGTAAACCTCTGAAGAGAACTAAAAGCAAACTGTAGTGTTTATTTTTGAAGATTATCCCACATATCATTTCAATCTGCATGTCGTCTCCCTTGTTCTACCTGTTTTAGTTTGACAAATGTTACGTAGTCCTACGATATTACATTGATACTAACAACAGACTCAGGGCATCATTTTATTCTAGTGAGTCATCTTCAATGCTTCTGCACGAGAACAAAATGGCGATTACACCTCAGTCATTACGACCACTGATGTTTAGTGGAGCCTGTACAGATTATGACCTCCTCATTTGATCGAACATTATTATAGGATTCAAGTTTTCTCGATTATACCTTCTGCCTTCTGCGGCTCACTCCTACGTCACGTTTGGAGGGCGGAGCCTGTGCTTTCTCAGGACGGGCGGGGGGAGGAGCAATAGTCGGCCTTTCATAGTTCCTGGTCTGTGATGCCTCCAAGAAATCAGTAAGATTTCAGAACTATTGTGTAGTGGATGTTCCAAAACCCAAATTGTGCTTGTACATGTGCAAATACAATGTGAAAAGAGTTATTTTGTATGAGATGGACCCTTTAACACAAGGCAAGACAATGGTAGAGTGCCCATGGCCTGTGGTGTTGAACCACGAAGCCTGACCAGTCCAGTTCCCAACTCAGCCAACTGTTCTTCTACAGGAGCTGGTACAGATGCATATCAACCCACACATTATAAAATGATGTGACTCATTATTCATGGAAAGACAATAGAAAGACAAAATCCAACTCTTTCTGTTCTTGTTGTTTTGAACACAGAGGGCTCACCTGTACTTTTCACCTGCAATACAAACGACTGCAGGAGTAAAAACTTTCTAAAAACTTCAGTGACCATCCAGTCGAAAACGTTCACATCAGAGGTCCAACATGTATGTGAGTGATGTGAACAGCACAGTCTAGAACTGAACATAACAAACAAAGAAGATGTTTTTGTTGCTTAACGGGCTGAGTGCTGTTACAATGAGTCATTACCTCTGTATGAAAATCAAAATGAAAATTTTTAAGTCAGCTGTGAGTCCAGGATGTAATGCTCCTTTTTCAGGACTATTATCAGGTATGGGGGGATAACAACGTGGTGTGGTATTTTATCTGTTAAATGAAGGTCGAAAAAGTAATAACTTAACCACGTGAGCTGGGAAAATTATAGGTGTCCCCCTCCACTCTCTACACGACATGTTTGAAGAGGCTCCGATTAAACAGGGCCAAAGAAGAACAAATGATTCCACCCACATGTTCTCTGTTTTCACTGTGCCCCTGATGTACAAGACAAATGTGGTGACAGTAAAAGTCATTCTATCTTATCTTACTCTGCAATGGTCGGCTGTGGGAGAGGCTCTCCGAGCAGCTGATTCAGGAGGAAACTCTCTCTGAAACATGACTGCCATTCATTCAGCCAGTGACACCAGTCCAAGTCCAACCTCTGCCTCGAATCTGGGTCCTCGGCTGCAACAGAAAAAACAACACAGTAACACAGAGATCAGGAGTCTAACCCACAACCTCCTAACTCCTAGTAACTCTCCACTCAGAGAAATCAGTTATTTACCTGCTTTTGATCTGAGGTCACCACCTTTGCACCAGCCAATCAGCAGGGCCTTCAGCAGTGACAGGTGCGGAGGGGGTGTGGCCTCCTTTAGCCAATAGCAGGTGGCGGCTATCGGGAGTGTCAGGTGAGACAGGTGAGAGGGCAGTGACGTGTGGAACTGTGGGTCCAGTCCCAGGGCGTCCAGTAGCACCTGACGCTGCTGCTCCTCTGTTTTCTGTGGAACAGAGGATTTAATGTTGAACTATTTTGAGCTTTTTGACTTAAAAACATGAAAAACAGAATTAGTTCATTTTAAATGATTTGATGGTCTAAAGATCTTCCTCACTTCAGACTGATGTGTGTGCCACTCTGAACTGAGTTCTACACATTATTAATCTGGAGCAGCTCTTTCTGAAAGTGTTCGGAAAACACAGAACATCATGAAGACTGAATCTGATTGGTCGAAGCATCACAACAGTGGAACAAGCTGAAAAGTCAAACTTGTAACATCCAGTTAAGAGAAAGGCACAGACATCTTCCCTGTACACAAATGCACATTTTTCACAAACTAAATATTCTATATTGAGCCTAAAATAGTTGATCTTGTTTGGGAGCTTCAGCTTTTGACTAGCAGAAAGAATTATCCAGCTGACACGGCCTGTACTGCTCTCACAAAGGTTAGATTTTGTAGTTCTTCTCTATTTTCACAACATGAAATCAAAACCTCTGAAAGTTGTAACAATGTTGTTGTATATTGACTCCACTAGGAGGAACCATGTGTTACTGTTACCTGTTACAACCATAGACTGTATAAGAATGGACATAGTTAACCTGTTAGCCGCCGCATTCCAAACAGGAAGTGCTCCAGGAGGCTTTTCCGGCTCCTTCTGGTCTGGCTCCAGTGACCTCCATTTGGATCTTGTGGCTTCTCTATCTGTACCTGCTGCTGTGGCCTCGTCATGTTGCTCTTAAATGTTCATATGAACCCGCTCTACATGATTCTGAATCTTTCATTTCAATATCCATCCATCCATTTTCTTCGGTTTATCCGGGGCCGAGTTGCAGGGCATCAGTCTAAGCAGGGACTCCCAGACTTCCTTCACCCCAGACATGTCCTCCAGCTCCTCCGGGGGAACCCCAAGGTGTTCCCAGGCCAGCCCAGAGACATAGTCCCTTCAGCGTGTCCTGGGTCTTCCCCGGGGCCTCCTCCTGGTGGGACATGCCCAGAACACCTCCCGAGGGAGGCGCCCAGGAGGCACCCGGAAACAGATGCCCGAGCCACCTCAACTGGCTCCTCCTCTACTCCGAGCTCCTCCCGTGTGACTGAGCTCCTCACCCTATCTCTAAGGGAGCGCCCAGCCACCCTGCAGAGGAAACTCATTTCCACCGCTTGTATCCACGATCTCATTTTAAAATTTTGTCCCAAAATCAAGATCTGCACATAAATAATGGACCAATCAGATGCCTTCATTCCCCAAGGTGTTAGCAACAGGTTTGATTGACAGCTTGTGTGTTTCGTTGCTAAGCCCCCTTCCCTCTCTCTGGTGAGGAGGGTGGGCACAATTAACCACCTCAGTCATGATTGGCTCTTCTGGTTGCTATGATACTCTTGGATTTCCAAATATGGAGCATGGCTCCAGATTTGTTCCTGTAACCATGGCAACAGGAGCTTCATCTGAGTGGAGCTGAACGCTGTGGAGACGTCACACTCACTTAGTCCACTCTTTATACAGTCTGTGGTTACAGTCGCCGCATGTTGGGCAGCGCTAGCCCATGTTGAAGAAGTAATGTGAAAAAGAAAATTATTTTTATTATTTTAATGAGCACAGGCCACTGAAAACAACATGACGCCTTCTTGGGTTCACCTTCCAGATTTTATTGTCCTGCCATGATCCATACTGATGAAGAGCACAACTGCACATGCTCAGTGGAAAGCACAACCCCAGATGTACCTCACTACTAAGGCTAAACTAGCACCACTGAGCTCAGCCCATTCATTCAAAATGAAGAGCATGTTCATGCACCGGGGCTTGGTGTAGCCACGTTCACTCACTAATTCACTTCCTGAGGACAGGGCCAAAGTGGAGAGGTGGAGGCCTCTGAGTGTGAGTATCTTTACCCTCTTTTGAGATTGAGCAATCAGAGAGATGATCACTGTTCATAGTGGAGCTGGTAGTTGAAATTAGTGCTGTAATGTGATTTTAAAAATTGAGAGATTAATTAATTATGATCTGTAATTAATTAATCTAATTAATCTCTTTTTAATCTCACCTAAAATTGCTGAGAAAAGCCTCAACTTGAGGTATTTTCATTTAAATTCATTATTACATTATTGTGGCAGATCAAAAGACTTCAGGGTGACTTTATAAAGTCATTTATTGTTTAATCAACTTTAATAGATGCAGTCACTTACATTCCACAGTATCATCATTATTATTACAATTACTAATCTGCAGTGTTGGGAAGGTTACTTTTAAAATGTATTCCCCTACAGATTACAGATTACATATCCCAAAATGTAGTTTGTAACGTAATCCATTTAATTACTTAAAGTGAGTAACGTAATTTGAATACTTTGGATTACTTGATATTGTCATGCTTTTTAAAACTACATGAATGTAGCAACCACATCCTGCAAATGTTGTTCTTGTTTGTTCTCTTCAAATTGGCTGTTGAGCCCAAGTCTCCATGAATAAGAAACTGTTTGCTGTAAAGTAGCAAAGACGAGGAAATCTGAACATAATAACTTTTGTCGACTTAAAGACAATAAAAAGTCCAGTCTTTCCTTAACCATATTAAAAATATTATTGATAGAGAAATGCTTTATATATGAGATCACTGGTTTTAGTCCTGGTTTAGACCTGCTTTAGTCCTACTTTAGTCCTAGTTTAGTCCTGGAATGGGTTAGTCCTGGTTTTAGTCCTGGTTTTAGTCCTGGTTTAGTCCTGGATTAGTCCTGGAATGGGTTAGTCCAACGTGGTCCGCGCGTTCTCAGGTTAATGACGATGATGAAGGTGTGTGTTTGTGTATGTTTGTGTTTGTATTTGTGTGTGTTTGTGTGTGTTTGTATTTGTGTGTGTTTGTATTTGTGTGTGTTTGTGTGTGTTTGCGTGTGTGTGTTTGTGTGTGTTTGTGTGTGTGTGTGTGTTTGTGTGTGTTTGTGTGTGTTTGTGTGTGTTTGTTTGTTTGTGTTTGTGTGTGTTTGCGTGTGTTTGTGTTTGTTTGCGTGTGTGTGTTTGTGTGTGTTTGTGTGTGTGTGTGTGTGTGTGTTTGTGTGTTTGTGTGTGTGTGTGTGTGTGTGTGTGTTTGTGTGTGTGTGTGTGTGTGTTTGTGTGTGTTTGTGTGTGTGTGTGTGTGTTTGTGTGTGTTTGTGTGTGTTTTGTGTGTGTGTGTGTGTGTGTTGTGTGTGTTGTGTGTGTGTGTGTTGTGTGTGTGTGTGTGTGTGTTTGTGTGTGTTTGTGTGTTTGTGTGTGTGTGTGTGTGTGTGTGTGTTTGTGTGTGTTTGTGTGTGTGTTTGTGTGTGTTGTGTGTGTTGTGTTGTGTTGTGTGTGTGTGTTTGTGTTTGTGTGTGTTTGTGTTTGTGTTTGTGTGTGTGTTTGTGTGTTTGTGTGTGTTTGTGTATAGGACGGTAGTGCAGACATCATGAGTCTATGCAGGTTGTTTTCACCAGTGACATTTAAGTTGTAGGTGATTTTATATTTGTTATTTTCTTTTATATTTCACGTCGGGAGAAGAATTTCAAAGACACAAATGTGTTTTTCCCTGTGCACTGCTGCTCTGTTCTACTGGCTCTTCCACCTCGTCCATTGTGCGACTGACACCGCCAACGTGAACATGACGTTTACATCGCTCTTACTGCGCACGTTTTGTGTGGGTTTCTGGCAATGAGTGGAATTACCGAAATAAAAAAAAATTTTAAGAAGTGTTTTTTTTGTGTGTGTGTGTGTGTCCCAACAACACATAAAAACAGATTTTATAATAAAGCAACTCACAAACAGAAACACTAAAGTTAGAGATTAAAAATGAGATTAACGCGATTAAAAAACATAACGCGCTAAATATGACTGTAATTAATTAATCGCAATTAACGCGATAATTTGACACCCCTAGTTGAAATAATTGTTCAGTTTGTGGTACAAGCATCAAATTTGGAGTGGAGATAGATAATAACATGGTCTTTTTGAAAAGCCTGTTAGCCACCCAAAATATCCAAGATGGCAGCCATTTTTCAAGTTGGCTGCCATAGTATATATGTATAATAACTATATATAACTATATATGTATAAATGTCAAAGCATAGGCTTGTTATTTAATTAATTATTTATATTTTTAGTGAAATTATACATCAAATCATTTTTGATGTTTATTTATCACCTTTCATTATATTTATAATATCTACAAATAAATGTCATTAAATAAAAACACACAGTAGAAAAACATCTCATGGACAAATCTTATTGAAACCTACCTGAAGAAATATTAAATATATGTAGTACCAATGTGCTAAAATATGTTTTTGTTAGAATATATATGTGTTTATTCTAGAAATGGGTGGGGTTGTAGCACAACCAGGGCACACTGGTGACTCCGCTGCTGTGAAACTCAGCATGGGGTTCAGTTTCGGCTATGTAGTGTTACTAACATTCTAATATTTAATGTAGTGTCCCAAATGCTCTCTAATTTGCCCTGTAAATACACCAGCGAGTAGTTTTAGTAAGTCTTTATTTATATAGCGCTTTTCACAAACATTTTTTGTCACAAAGACAGAGCATTACATTCAGCATTATTCATTCACTCTACACCTGGTGATGGTAAGCTACTGTTGTAGCCACAGCTGCCCTGGGGCAGACTGACAGAAGCACAGATTCATTGATTAATTGTATTTAACTGACCTTGACTATCAACTGTTCTGGAGACCTGTAGCATGTTTTGGGTTGATCAGGGAAACCAGAGAGCCCAGAGGAAACCTGTGCAAACCACACAGAAAGGCCCAGGCGACCCAGGGATCGAACCCGGAACCTTCTTGCTGTGAGGCATGAGTGCTAGCCACTCAGCCACAGTGCTGTATTAATAAGTGTTAGTTATATTAATATTAGTTGTAGTATTAAAGTTAGATAGCCGTATCTGAATTGACAGGATATGCCAGCGTGGGAGAGCCGAGGATGGAAGTTGGAAAAGTGCTATAGAAAAATGTGACCATTTACCATAGTATATATAGTAGTAGTATATATATATATATTAGTCAAAGGTGGTTGTAAAGGAGACTGTTGTAGTAGGTGTAAATGTTTTCGTCTGGGTTTAAATTGCACACATTTGTGGTTGCAATTGCAATGATTAAGGTCAATAAGCAAAGTTTAACAAAAAACAAAAAAAAACAACAACGTTATTGTGTTTTTTCGATAGTTCTTAAGCACATCCAGCACTATGAATGGTTCTATTTTAATGGCTCTATTTCTGAAATTAACCCATGTCAATATGTTGCATTTTATTAAAATTTTGCTCGTGTTTTTATTTCTACTTCCCAAATGGTTATTGGGATACTTTTGGTTTCAAATTGCGAGAAAATTGAATGAATTTTGTGCAAAATTAAATATATTTTGGTGTAAAATTTGCATTAGTGTATATGTATATATTTGCAAATTTGTTATTTATTCCATTAATTTTGATTAAGAACATGATGACTTATTGTCTTTTAGCTCATACTTATGTGAAATCAGTTATTTGGTCGGCCATCTTGAAAAATGGCCGCCATGTTGAATATTTCAGGTGGCTAACGAGTTTTTCTAAAAGAGCATGATGTTAGCTAAATATATGAGAATCTTGGTGCTTGTACCACTAACTGAACGATTCTTGTGGTTTGGAGACCTAATCTGCTCCACTGTCAGTTCTCCAGAACACTGCACTCCCTCAGTGGGGCTGAGGACCACCCTCACCAGCCTCTACTCTCTACTCGACCTTGAAGCTGTTGCTTTACCTGCTGTACACTGTGTGACTGGGCATTACCTGCTCTAGAGACTTGATGCAGAATGGGACCTCCTCTGGTTGGACGTTCTTGTATTGGACGTCCAGTCCATCTCTGTCACGTTCCTCCACAGTTGGGGGTCTGTCCGTCCCCAGCAGCAGCCCGTACATCACCCTCCTCAGGGGCAGAGAGACCAGGTTAGCACTGGGTTTGTCCTTATGGTCCACCACCACGCTCAGACCCACTCGCTGTGAGGTCACCACATCCAGGAAGTCTGAGCTGAACTGGGCATTAGTCACTGGGACTCTCATCCAATCAGGAATCTTCCCCTCCATCTGTGAAAAGTAATCGTGCCTTTTAACCAGAGACTTACACTGGCTTTATTTTGAAAAGCTGAAAAAATAAATAAATAAAAGTCAAATGATGCAGTGCTTGTCTGTTGCAGCTCTATGTTCAAACACAGAACCCCCCCCTCCTCCAGGCCAGTCTCTGTTCTGAGTGAGTGACAGGACCTTTTACCAATCACAGCGAACAGTAAAATTAAGTAGATTTTTTTACCTCTTAAATGGATCAAGTGCACATGAATCATACACTACATAATTTTATTTTTTGGCAAAGGCCTATTGTTTCACCTGTTATTATAATAATGGACATTGGATGGACAAACTTTTATTAATCCCAAAGAAAAAGTAATGTTCTGGTTGTGTAGCCCCCTGAGTGTAAAGTTGTCTCTGACCTGTGGGGGCAGTGGTGGGGTGATGCCCTCACTGAAGAACTCGATCAGAGGACTTGGGTCAGATGGAAGTTTGTAGTGATCGTTTACCTCCTGGAGAGTCTTCAGCTTCTCCTCTGCCTCTGGTTGGCCCCTCAGAGCGGCCTTCATCACCTCCACAGGATCATCCTCACTCTGACGACTGCTCAAGCAACACATTTTATGTTTTTTTATGGTATTTAGTGATCATGCTGCCTGAGTTATTGCTTAGATCATGTGGCTTCCGTCCGTCTCACACCTGAGGACTTCAGACCTTCAAACCATCTGACCTCTGTACCACACCGTGGTGAACATCTCCACTCTCTTGGTCGCATGTGCATCATATAAGACCAGCATGTCAAAGTAGCCAGGAATCCTTTTAATGTTTTACCTGATCCACTCAAGTATAGAGTGTAGTTTGGACTCCTTTTGTCTGGAGGCACCAGGTGGCAGTGGCATCTTTCCCGCCAAACCAGCAAAGACGGACAACAGCTGAGGGTGGATTTGATTGAACTCACAGAAGTCAGAGGAGTAGTATCTCTTACAGGGAATGCACTTCTTTCCATCACGCTGCTTCACCTTCTTCCACCTACAGGACACACCCAAAAATCTATAATAAGAACCAGATAAGACACTCCACAAGTGAGATCGATAAGTGACTGCTCTACATGTACTGCAGCTCCCTGCAGCTCTGGCCAGAAAAGAATATTCCCATAGAACACTGTTCATTTTTCTGAAATTAAATGATAGGGCATCGACAGCTTTCATAAAAGCTCAAGTTTTGTAGGGATTCTTTTATATTTTTACAATTTAAACTTTTTAGATTTTTTTAAAATTGCCAAAGTGCTTAGAAGTTTGTAAGATTTAGCCTGGCTCACCTCTGAGCCCAAACTCGCTCCAGTTTAGTAGCGACTGCTCTGATTGGTCAGAACTGCATGTTTCTGATATCACGTTTAGTGGCGTAAGGCCAGAATTCAGAAAGTAATGCAGAAGTAAGTTTTTACAATACATCATCCAGATCTTCTTATACTTCCATGGACACAGCAGACAGTTCACCTCTGTCACTGGTGGTCCTCCTCTCTTCAGCTGTGGCTACAATAGTAACACCACCATAGTCTGTATATATAAATGGACACAACTAATGTGCTAGCCTCTTTGTTCCAAATGATAAATGATGATGGACGCACTTCCGACTCAGTCGACTCTGGCTCCACTACACTTTACAATGAAAAAAATGCAGTGCATTGCAGTGAGTTTCATAATTTTGGTCTTAAAATGTTCATATTAATGCACTTAATCCTGGGTTTTTGTCTGTAAATCAAGATATGAACATCAATAACAGACAAATAAAATATTATCAATCTGGAAAGGCTTTCACTGAAAGTGTTCAGAAACAAAGTCATGACGACTATTTGAATCTGATTGGTCAAAGCGTCACAACAGAGAGATGGAACAGAATCTAACTTTTGTTCCATCCAGTTGTGAGAAAAGCACAGACCTCATCCCTGTCCACAAATGCACAAAGTACTTACATTCTGCATGTTTTTCACAAACTAAATAGTCTGTACTGACGCTAAAAGAGGCTGAAGTACGTCTGTCGGCGTTGCCATGTTTAATTTGGTTCATTTTGGCGCTTTGCCTTTTGGCTTCTGCACAAACCTCACTGCTGCTCTGTGATGATCCACCCTCCTGATTAACTGTACAGCAGGTGCACTCCAAGATGGATTCTTGTGAGTTTGTGAACTCACAAACATTGGAAGAATCCTTGCTATGCCAGGTTAGCTCGCACTAGCAACAAGTTTAAGTAACAATGTTGCCAAGCATCCGCTCAATATTAAACCAGCGGTGCATGTGGGAAGGGGCGTTTCCTTCAACAGCCTCATTCTGGATTGGCTCTGGTTGTTGTCATACTCACAGTTGGAAATCCAAATATGGAGCTTGGCTCCAGATTCTCCCCTATAACTGTAGCCTCAATGAGCTTCATTTGACTGGAGTTGAACACTATGGGTGACGTCACACTCATTCAGTCCACTTCTTTAACAGTCTATGATGAATGATTAATGCTGTAAAGCACTTTGGGTGTCTTGAAAAGCACTTTATAAATGTATAATTACTGTAACACATTATATTGTTCTATTCTAAAACAAAACACAATGTACTTGTATATTTCTAAGTTTTGTAAAAGGGAACTCCAGAGAAGCTGCCTTATCTTATAAAAGAGGCGCCTGACACAATAACAAATACATCGACATGGTTTACAATTTAATCTACTAATAATACTTACAAGTTTTTACAAAGTATTACTCTATACCTAACATCACCAACATCTACGGTGAACAGAGTGGTACAAATAACTCGAATAACTGGCCCTATGTTCCCCTGACCTAAGGCCAAAAGGACACCTCTGATGTTTGTCCTTCTGGTGCTACAGGTCAGACCTCAGAATGTCCAGGAGCTCAGTGATGTTCTGGTCCAAACGTGGTAGGACACACGTGTGTACAGAAGCACAGGGATTCATGTAAACTGTGATACCAGGTCCATAGATCTGTGTTCATTTAATCTCAAACTAAATTAGTGCATCTTTACTCCTTCTTTCCTGGAATGTAAAACTCTCTAAAGTGACTGACTAGTCCCTTTAAAAAGAAACACCGGTGCAGAGGAAGTGTTACCTGAAGTGTTCAGTGGGCAGCATTCCTCCTGTAAGGGGGAAGATGAAGAAGTCACTGTCGTCGGAGAGCACAGGACAGGCCCACTCTTGAGCCAGTGCTGCCACCTAGAGGTGAGATTATCATTGTGAAAAAAACATATCAAATACATTTGTTGCACAAATCACTCATTTTAAGACAGTTCGGTGCAGATTTAAGCAGAGAAAAGAACTGGTTTGCAAGGGCAGTAAAGGAAGCTATTTTTATGAAGATAGAGAATCCGTCTCTGAACTCCTTTACAGATGACAGTGTGGCAGGGCGCAGAGGTCCTCAGAGGTCAGGGTTGGAGAGGTCCGTGTAGCAGGGTGCCGGTGACAAAAACTCACGTATCTTTGCACAAAATTCAAGAACACCAAAATAGGAATTTACAAATACTCCACATCAAAAAACTAAAAAAATAAATAAAAATGGTGCAACAGCGCCCCCTGCAATATCAAAATCACAAACAATCATCTTTGTTGTAAACAAACGAAATTCAGGTGTTGGGTAGGTCTGGTGGTTTCAAACTAAATATATATATATATTATGCGGTGGCTAGGCAGCCCACAAGAAGTCCACCATACTGAACCGAATTTAGTACACCGATGCATCATGGGAATAGGAACAAAAAAGTATATTACGCAGTTGCTGGGCAACCAAGAGGAAGTCGGCCATATTGGATTGATCGTGCGACTCAGCGCCGAAGGCGCAATTTAATGTCCTCGTACTTGTTTGACCCAGCTTCACCAGAATCATTCTGTATCATCTAGACAAGTGGGACATTACAAGTTGTTAAAAGCATACTAAAAGATCAAGCGATGTTGTCGTGACAACGGTGCAACGGGTTCATTTTTGAGGCTCGCCATCAACTTCGATTTCACTCAAACTTTGATTGTTGGTGGATATCCCAGCCCTGAACAGATTTCTACAATAAAATTTAAAATGGATGCAATAGTGCCTCCTAGGGACATTGTATGGAACAATTAAATTTTACCTTTTTGTATACATACCAAATTTGATACACACATTCATGGCCTGGTCTTGATGAAAAAAGTCAATGACGCCCAAACTCCATCTCCCATCGTGTTTCCATGGCAACAGGCCAAAAATGTGTACTCACCAATGGGATGTCCCAACAAAAACTTTGACGTACTCAAACTAAATTTGGTACACTGATTCATTATGGGAGTAGGAACAAAAAAGTATATTGTGATCACACCCCCTCCCAAACTGGAAGTTCGCCATCTTGGATATAAAAAAAAAAAAATCAACACATACAGAAATTGAGAAAAATGGCTGAGTTCAGTTAAGATAAGGGGTTAGTGTTCGGTTAGGGGTTATGTTTGGGGTCGGGTTAGGGCTAGGATTAAGTTTAGGTCTAGGGTTAGGGCTACAGTTAAGAGTTCAGGTAGGGTTAGGGGTTAGTGTTAATTTAGGAGTTTGGGCAAGGGGTAAGGTGCATTCATGGGGCTTGGCATGTGCAAGGCTCAGCGTGGCCGAGGGGCAGCGTGGCGTGGGCGCGGCATAGGCTCGAGCAAGGGCCGATCATCGCAGCTTGCGATATTTGGATATATAATATTAATAATATTATTATTATTATTATTATTATTATTATTGTTGTTGTTATTGTTGTAGTTGTTGTTGTTGTTGTACTGTGTGGGCCACATTCTATAAGGCACAATATATATAGGGTCACAATAGCAGTGGGGAAAGGGAGGATTTTCACCTTGATTTTTAGAATTGGGATTAATAAATTTGTTTATAATGGAAGTCAGCGGATACGCAAATTTCTGATATACACACGCTGAGTGTATACAAAACTTCGTGCTGTTAGTCCTCCAGTGAGTATGAGGAGGTGTGTCTAGCCCTGCCCACCTCTGCCTGAACCTCTTGTACCTCGTACCTCTTGTGCCTCTATGGAAACAAGACTTTAGGAACTCAGAGTAGGATCAATTCGCCATGATTCAAAGCAGTTCCATCAATTTGAAAATGACCTCTGGATGGGAGGCAAAATGTCCAGAAGACCAGTTCTGAAAGTGTTTAAATGCTGCTCAGTATGGATCAAAACTTACCATCTATATGCAGGCCAACACGTCAGATCTGTGGATGGGCTGAATTGTTTAAATTTAATCCCATATTGTAAAACATTCCAGGCAAAATATAACATCTCCATGGAGACAAGCTGGTGCCAGATAAAATAATTATGCAGGGAACCTTGAAAACAATTTCATTTGTAGGGTGAACAAACAGTTTTACTGCAGCCTTTTATTATACCTGTGCCTAATAATAATCATGGCAATGAAAGCACATGATATTGTCAATACTAATCCCCCACCTGTCGACCGGCCTCGGTGTAGCAGCGAGCCAAAGGGATACGCAGGTCCTCCAGTGTCTGTCTGAACACCTCCCAGATGAGGGTTGGCAGGATGCCTGTGGTCTCTCCCGTCTCCACAGCGCTGTGGGCTCTCTCAATGCGTTGTGTCTCTCGCTCTCTCTCCGTGTTCCTTTTCTGTTTGTCCGAGCAGCCGTCGAACACCACATATGGAGATATGTCGCACTCCTTCAGTGCAGCAAAAAACTGCTCCACCAGTTCCTTGAAGGCACCGTACTCTCCCCCATGGTTCTGATCCAAGCCTGAGCAAAGACACAGGACTGTTACATTAAGCAGGATATAGAATGCATATATAACATAGGATATTAATGCATATAAAAGCCTTTATTATGAGCACAACAATGGGCCAGGTATGTCGCCCAGACTGACATCACTGGGGCCTCACCCTGGAGCCGGCCCTGGGGTGGGTGTTTGATGGCGAGAGTCTGGTGACTGGACCTTCCCTCACGGGGCTCAGCCAGGCGACTGACATGGGGTTGTCCTATCATGGAACCACCTCTAGCAGGATCTGTAAGGGGCCACTGCAAGGAGATCTGGGCAGCAGTCCAAGGCAGGGGCCTCAGCAACCAGATCTCCGGACATGGAAGCTGGCTCTGGGGACATGGAATGTCACCTCGATGGGAGGGAAGGAGCCCGAGCTTGTGCTGGAGGACAGTTTATAAAGAGGCGGCTGCAGAGCCGCTTCTCCTCGGCGCGCACTTAAAGATGTGAACTTTTACGCACTCGTTAACCTGACATGTCCACCACACTCTCACTGCAGGGAGGTCAGGCATATGCGGCCCCCTCTCATGCCAACAGAGCAGCGTGCGTAAAGCTCTAATGGCACGAGAGGTGCACTTACCATCCACCCGCCCTCCGGTGGGCGATTTTCCAATAAAAAATGTTCACTCTGTATATTCACCTTTATTATTGTTTTCACTACTGGCATGCCATACATCGTTTGAAAGCTTAATTTCTCAATAAAACAACCATATCATTCATTTTATGCCACACAACGAGCCCAAACGCGATAACTTAAAAATTCACATCATAATCAAAGAATAAGATACGCGTTTCTTACATTTGAGCCGGTTCTGTCGGTCCAAAACGCGTTCAATCGATGAAATGTTGTACTCTATAAGTCCGTAATAATCCACAGAAAAAGAATATCAAGTTGTTTTCCATAAAATAATTCCATGTGGGTAAATCCAGAAAATCCTCGTCCGTATGAATGGATGAAAGCATGAATAAAAAGATATGTTGCCTTTCCGAGCCTTCTCCCTCTCTGAGTTCCGTTTCTCTTGGCGCTCTTGGGTACGCTTGTTTTCCTCACACTCTTAGCTTCAAAATGAGACCCTCCCCGCTGTTGTCGGTGCCGTGGTTTAGGTGGGACAAGCCGCTGGAGAAGCTAACGCACTCACGTACTTCCTGGCTTTACGCACGCGTCATCAGTTTGTTTACGGGAAATCTCTTCAGTCATTGGATCTTCCAGAAAGTGATTGACATATTGTTTTAGCCTATCACCAGAGCTTTCAAACGGTGGGTGGGACGTGCAGATGGTCTTTGAAACGGGGGCGGTGTTTACAGGCGCCACAGAGAGGGACACAAGATGCGGAGCGGGAGGGGCCATATTGAGCAGATCTGCCACTTGGAGGACAATTTTGGCTACTTTTAGGTTTTTTTCTTGAGAAAACATGCCTAAAGCTCAGAAGAATTAGTATTATAATAATAACAATTATTATTATTATTATTATAATATTATTATTATTATTATTTTGGCACAAATTTGGCAATCTTGTGCCGAATTGTCATTTTGTTTACACAAAGGCTCACAGCATCAAAACCCTTTGTCCTAGAGATCTGAAATTCTACACAGTTGTTGCCAACAACTTGAACAATGAGTGTAGTGAGTCACAAATGCATGAAGTATGCCCAAGCTAAGGCCTTTATTTTTTTCAATTGTTTTTTCAAAGCAAAAAAATAAATTTTTTTAATTGACTGTACTGTAGGTTAGGCAGCACTGACAGTCTTCATGTACATATCTACAGAAACTAGAAGGCCTAAGCTTTAAAATGGTGCCTCACACAAGCATGTGGGTTCTAAGGTTTTCTTTTAATAAGCTATGGCACTTGGGTATGTAGTGCTATTGTGCACACGCCAAAATAGGTGGATGGTAACAGGTTAATGGCACCAGAGGCGGCCGCATACGGAACAGTGCCTACAGACCCGCATTCAGCACTAGAGCCATAGCGGGACATAAAGACAGTCTGCGGACAAAACAAGCTGTGCCGCAATGGAGGGATATTGAAAAAAAGGCTTAAGTGCCGTGACTCCGCCCAAAGAAAAAAAATGTCGGAGTGCAGGGACGTTTGATCAAAAATGGAAATGCCGCTACTCCGACAATAACAGATCAATGTAGGAGTGATGGTATGTTGGAATGGCAATGTGCAACCCGCGTTTAGATATAAATTTGCTTGTCAGATATGACGCCGCTTTTTATCACCTCAATAATGTTCTAAAACAATACGAGTATTTCACCCACGTTCAAATATGATAATAATGTCCATCCCTCTTTTCTGGTCACCAATAAATTATAAGTGTTTGCGCCCAATCGCAGATCAGGACACGCAGACCAATACCAAGAGATCTCCTTTGTGGCAAAGTTTGCTCTAATGTTGTAGTTTTAGACTGAGAATAATTCTAAGGAATAGTTTCAGAAAAAGTCCTGAGGACAAATTTGGGGAAAAGTCGGTAAACTTGCTATTTCCCATCATTTGAGGGTGCTGATTCCAAAAATTTTGTTTACCAATCAGAATTTTGAGTTTTAAGAATGCTAATTAGCATAATATCATAGACACAAGGCTAGTCAAATTAAAGTTCTCTTTAATTGAATGGATTTCATAAAAAGTCCAGAAAACAAATACCAGTATATCACCACATGACCCCTACTGCAGCGTTTTAAAGCTAGTGTCCTTCATTTCCTTCATTTGATGAGCAGAATTGAAAAAAAAAATCCTGATTCAGATTTCTATTAGGTTTGGATTCTAGGTGACTGCTCATTTTTATTCCTGGAAGTCATTTATCTCTGTTTGCTATCGACAGCTTTCATTCTTTATTGAGAATATAGACTACTGTTATGTTTTATATCACAACATTTCAGTAAATGTGACTGAGGGGGCGAGGCAGGCTAAGTGTCTTGCCCGACACTTGCCCAAGGGGATCTGACGCTCAACCAACGATATTTATGTCGAGAGCGGGATTCAAACCGCCAACCTTCAGATCAGTGGACGAACGCTCTGACCAACTGAACTACTGCCCCAAAAATGCAAGAGCCTCTCTTTTTTTCAGATGTCAGGGACCTGAGGCTCTGCCCCCTGAAGTGCTGCTGCTCATGGTCTATTAGAAGAAACATTACCAAGCTGGAGTACGGAGACAATCGAACAGAATAAATCCAGTCCTACCACTTGTAGAGGAAATGGGATGGAACGTAATCAATGGAAACCTGGAACCCAAACTGATGCATCCCAAAAACCTGCAACTTGATGGTTTCCTGCAGATGCAAATACGACTTTAGACAAACAAATGCAGCTGTCACAGTGCAGATCTGTTCTGTATAAGTGGCTACAAATGTAAAAGTGCTTCCAGATCAGCCATGCCAGAATGCTGCCAGTGCAGACTAAGAATACAGCCAGAATTAAAGGAAACTAGCACTTCTTTCTCTAAACTCCTTATCTCACACATTAAACACAACATAAAATCCTGATGTGTGACTTTTTGTGATTTTTGCAGTGACTCTAAGGAAAATGGTTAATGTTTAGTGTCTCCTAGAGTCAGAGAGGCAACTTTTGTTAAACTAAAAATGTTGTAAATAAATTTGATTTGTATTTGTTGGATTCATATCCTTTCTTAGTTTGATTTCCAGTTAAAGACTAATTAAAATGTATTTTTCATATGTGAGGTGCTTTGTTACCTTTATCCCATTTAGGGAAAAAAAATAAAAAATGTCAGGTGGTGGAAGGAATATTTTGCTTCCAGGGGGGGAGGGGGGGGACTCGTCCATCACCCTGGCTGAAGTCACTGAGGTTGTTGCCAAGCTGCGGATGTGGATGAGATGAGGTCCTGAGGATCTTAAGTCTCTGGATGTTGTGGGTCTTGGCTGACACGTCTCTGCAACATCGCGTCGTGGTCGGGGACATGGACAGACCGGGGTGGTGCTCCCTCTGTTTAAGAAGGGGGACTGGAGGGTGTGTTCCAACTACAGGGTTCGCAATTGGAAAAAGGCGTCTTGTCGTCTCCGAGTAGGTGGAGAGTTCCTGCCTCAAGTGGAGGAGTTCACGTATCTCGGGGTCTTGTTCTCGAGTGAGGGGAGGATGGAGCGTGAGATTGACAGGTGGATCGGAGCAGCGTCTGCAGTGATGCGGTCGCTGTATCGAATTGTTGTGGTGAAGAGGCAGGCATGAGCTCTGGGTAATGACCGAAAGGATGAGATCGCCGATACAAGAGGTCAAAATGAGTTTCCTCCACAGGGTGGCTTTGTGCTCCCTTAGACATAGGGTGAGTAGCTCAGTCACACGGGAGGAGCTCGGAGTAGAGCCGCTGCCCCTCCATGTGGAGAGGAGCAGCTGAGGGGAGGGCATCTTTCTGATGCCTCTTGGGCAATCCGTGTATCATTCGTTCATTCGTTTTTCAATATAAAACCAAAAATAAGAAAATGAAAAAACAACCGTTGTTTCCAAAACCAAAATGAAAAAACAGATCATGATTTGTTTTTTGCACCGGGACCAGCCCGGGACCAGTCTGAGATCAGAACTGAGATCGGGACCAGACCAAGACTGAGACCAGACTGGAACCAGAGCGGGACTGAGACCGAGACCAGACCAAAACCAGAACGGGTCCAGACCGGGACCAGTATGAGACTGAGATCAGAACTGAGATTGGGACCAGACTGGGACCAGAGGGAACTGAGACCAAGACCAGACCAGGACCAGGCTGGGACCAGACCGGGACTGAGACCGAGACCAGACTGGGACCAGGCTGGGACCAGACTGGGACTGAGACCGAGACCAGGCTGTGAACAGGCCGGGACCAGACCGGGACTGAGCCCGAGACCAGACTGGGACCAGGCTGGGACCAGCCCGAGACTGAGACCTGGACTGAGACCGAGACCACGCTGGGACCAGGCCGGGACCAGACCAGGACCAGACCGGAGGCTTAGAGCCCACGGCAGGGCCAGCGCTCGAAGCTGAGGCTCGGAGTCCGCTCTGGTCCTGCTCTGGTCCCGCTCTGTCCAGGTGTGGTCCCAGACCTGGATTAGTCCTGGTTCAGTCCGTATGCAGTGCAAAAGTTCGGCATCGCAGTCACAGAAGTCTTGTAAACTGGAAACAGCCGTTATCCTTTTTTTCCATTTTTCATTTAAACACAAAATCGAAAACTGAAAAAGCTAATCATTATCCGATTTGTTTTTTATTATTTTAGTTTTGGAGACAAATAATGAAGAAAACTGTTGTTTTTTCATTTTCTTATTTTTGGTTTTATATTGAAAAACAAATGAACAGATATACACAGAATACAAAAAATACACAGATTTTGGGCGTCTCCCCCGGGAGGTGTTCCGGGCATGTCCCACCGGGAGGAGGCCCCAGGGAAGACCCAGGACACACTGGAGGAATTATGTCTCTGGGCTGGCCCCCGGAGGAACTGGAGACTATATATATATATATATATATATATATATATATATATATATATATATATATGAAAATCAGAAGTCTTAGAACTCAAAATCCAGCTTGGTAAACAAAATATTCAGAATAAGCACCCTCAAATTATAAAAATAAATAAAATTGTTTACCGATTCTTCCTCAAATTTGCCCTTAGGACTTCTCTTCTGTGAAAATAATCCTAGTCTATTTCACATAGGTTTATATATATATATATATATATATATATATATATATATATATATATATATATATATATATATATAAACTTATTTATATTGATACATTTATTTATATATTTTTATTTAATTAAATAATTTAATCTTAATTCCTCTTCCATGCGTCGTATCATCTGAAACGCTATAATATAATAATCTTCATCACTGGCAGAGCTGTATATAGAGAGTTAGGACATAAGTCAGTAAAGCTTTCACATCTGCCAATAGAACAAAGTTGCAACACATTGTTCATTATCATCATAAACTGTTTGTTAATGTTAAAAGGTCTGTCATACTTTGCTAAAATAACACACCATCCCATCCACCATACCACTGCTAAAATACCTTACCAGCCACACCAGCATTATATATCGTGTGTGTGTGTGTGTGTGTATTCTGTATAATTGTTAATAACATGTGTATATTTGTCCCTTTTGTATATTAGTATGGACGTGTAGAATAAGTTAGTTACATCTGTATATTGCCCTCTGTTAATCATACCAAATTATACTCGTCTTTTTCCATTGTTCTACCTGTACATTCTGCTCCCGTCACTTATTTGTACATAAACTGCACAGAACTATTGCCCACACAGAATTTATCTGTACATATTCTACACACATATACCCACCTTTACTTGCACTAGCTGTAAATATTACATTTAATCTGTACATACTACATTTAATCTGTACATACTGCCCATTCACATGTTGCACTTCAGATATTTGCTCTTGTGATTAGGTGCTGAACTGCATTTCGTTACTCTGTTTTCATACATGTGTAATGACAGTAAAGTTGAATCTAATCAAATCTATTAAGACTTTGATAAATATGTCACTTTTAATGTGTAATTATTCTATTGTGTAATTATTCTATGGCTGTAAAAGGTATAATGGGGCTGTGAAAAGTCTATTCATTCATATTCAGAAAACATTCACAAGTCAGAGAATGGAATAGAAGTAAAAAAAAAAAAAAAAAAAAAAAGTGGCCACATTGGCTGAACTGTCTTGGTCTGCGTGTCCTGATCAGCGATGGGCGCAAACACTTCTAATGTATTGGTGACCAGAAAAGAGGGATGGACATTATTATCATATTAGTAGAACGCGCGTATTTTACGCGTTGTGTTTTGGCACCGACGCGCGTCAAAACAGCGCGTCTTAAACTACTCGCGTTGTTCTGGAACGTCATTGCGGCGTAAAAAGCGGCACATTTCGGTGAATTTTCGGCGAAAAAGGCCGCGTCATATCTGACAAACGGCGTATTTATATCGAAACGTGAGTGGCTAAGGCGTAAATGTGGCATTATTGGCTTGCCATACTACGCGAGCGTAAAAACTGCAACTTTTAGACGCGTAATTTTTGGAATGTATTAAAATATGGCAAAACGATAACTATAGAGTCTATAGAGATTTTTATTGTCCCACTACAGGTTTAGGCTGATCTGTGATGGCCTATCCACAGCACCAGAGACTCCAGCGGTGAACATGTGACACAGTCATGTGGCCTTCAATGAAAAAATGCTAATTAAACATAAATACAACTGGTTTATTAAAATCTAATAATGTTTCATATTCTCTTTTGACATTTGTATACGGACAGTTCAATAATCACATGTTTAATGAGCGACAGACTGAAAAGATAAACACGTTGAGATGCAGGACAGACGTTTTAAATTTAACAGATGCAGTTTACAAACATAAGGTTTATTTTGTAAGAGTAAAGAATGTGCAGAGGGAGATCGGTGCTGGACTGTTCTGGACTCTTTGTCTTGGTCAGTGATCGGCTGAAAACACTTTAAATTCATTGAGATCATCATCAAATGTCAAATAATCTTCGCGTTAACGGGTTAAAAATAGGCGTAAATGTGAACAGTTTGGTTTGCCATATTATATGTATTACGTGCAGTGGAGCCAGGCCCTAGAACACACACACACACACACACACACACACACACACACACACACACACACACACACACACACACACACACACACACACATACACACCTGTACCCCTGACATTTTCACATCTCATTAAATGATCTTAAATGTAGCCTATTTATTATTTTTCACAAAATAAACATTATTGTTTGCACTGTGTATTTTTAGCTGCGAGGTTTTGTTAGTAATAGTTTCTTGTTTTATTATTATTATTATTATTATTATTATTATTATTATTATTATTATTACCGAACCACCATCTACATGAATCAAATTTTAATTCCATTTTAATTTAATTACATTTTAATTACAGAATTATCCACAAATCTCACACGCGCTCACCTGAAGTAAAATAAAGGTGATAAACCAGATTGGATCCTATCACCAAACGTCCTGCGCAGAACCATTCCTCCTTGTAAATGTTCTGACTTTTCACCAGTGATGTCATGTTTCTGACCCCCATCTTCTCTTCTGTGGCCCGGGGATGAAGTGCCTGTAGTGCGTCTGATATCACATATTTATTAACACTGCCAACGTTTGGGCGCGTCCTTTCCCTCCGTTTAGTTTTTGAGAGAGAGAGAGAGAGAGAGAGAGAGAGAGAGAGAGAGAGACAGAGAGAGAGAGAGAGGGACAGAGAGAGAGAGAGAGAGAGTATCTCGGTTTCTTGACATAATGTTACATAATGCAGCTTTGTGTACATTTGTTTACGTTTTTACATAAACGAAACTTAAAACAGTCACGTTATTTTTGTCGTCTACTGTTGTGATGAAAAGACAGAGGTGGAGGATGGTGGAGGATGGTGGAGGATGGTGGAGGATGGTGCGCTTGTTGTGGTCAAGTTTTCTGGGAGTTGAAGTTTGGACTGTATGAGGAGGATTCACCTGTTCAGCTCTTCCTGTCTCGGTCCTCGGACCGTGGTCAGAGGACACTCGGAGTTTAACTGCCTGTTCTGATCCTCACCGTTGTCGTGAGTGCGTGAGCCCAATAATCCCCTTCAGTTTGTTGCTCAAGAGTTTTGTGGTTTTATTTGCACGTAAATAACAGGGCACTTGCGTCCAGACTCGCTCCGGTCGCTGTATTCTCAGTCACGTGACACATAAACACCACAGACACTGTGCGCTCCACGGCCTCATTCAAAAGCGCGTGCCCCAGGGGCGCGCACGCAGTCACACACACACACGCTCACGCCACACACTACTCTGCACAGAAGAGTTAGACACACATCTCACAACAGCCCGCCCTGATGGCGATGAACAATTCCACTCCAGCAGGAATAATACAGAACTGGTACAGGGACATGGCAAGAGACTGTTCACACTTCCGCCGAGTTCTGACGCACACCTGATATCGACGCATATTATAAGCGTCTTTCAAATTGTTATTTTACGCGTTAAATTCTTATTCGACGCGTCAAATAAGAATAATTTGTTGTGCCAAATTTTATCTTTAGTTGCAGGTACAAGCTGTTTTTAGATCGATGGATTTCTCTCATCAAACTCATTAAATACACAATCCAACAACTCCAAAACGCTCTGGGGGACAAGTTGTGACCTGTGTCGTTTGGAGTTGTTGGATTGTGTATTTGATGAGATTGATGAGAGAAACCAAGAAATCAGCCATAGCGGTGACTCTGAGCAGCTCAGTCTCTGCTCCACAGATGTGAAAACAGCTTGTACAGACAATTCAAGGTACAAACCTACTGCTATGACTATCAGGATTATGGCAATGGGCCAGTTTGCCAAAATGTTGAACTCTCCTAAAACAAGTCTGAATTGTAGTGGTTGTACTGTTGTACATTTGCTGTTGCACTTTTTAAATGTTTAATTTTTAACTGTTTGTAAAGGGTGTCCCATTTGTCATGAGCCCTCGATTCCATTTGCAGCCATTTTGATTTCATGTAAGAACCAAAAAAATCTATTTCCTGTGAGTGGTTTGACTGTTGCACATTTTGACAGTTGCACATGTTTGCTGTTGGACAGTTTATACTTTTATATGTTTTTAAAACTGGTATGCTTACAAATCATAAGCAGTACTGAATGTGTTGGGGGCATGTTTGCCCAGGAAACTGCCTATGAATGTTTCTGTTGAATGTTGCACTTTTCACTCATCGTACACTTGATTAAAACGTGAAAACAAATCATCATTTTGTTCTGTGTCCTTTTTTGGGCATAAAGCGAGAGGGTGCAGTAAAATTACAATTAAATATATGTTACAATGTATTACACTGTTAATTAATTATAAATTTACAGTCAATTATTGGTTAATAATTGCATTACTTTTACACTAATTCAACGTAAATATTTTCACAGCAATTTACTGTATTTATTTCACAGTTTACAGCAAGTCCTCGGCTAATTACTGTTACATCACAGTAATTCCTTGGGCATGGCAACCGTGAATTTACAGTCAAGTGTTGTTATTTACCTTAAATTACTGTGAAATAATTACAGTAAATTGCTGTGAAAATTAAAGCAATTATTAGCCAGTAATTTACTGTAATTTCACAGTGAAAATTCTTACAGTGTATGTATATGATCATGAACTCCTCCTACTGATTTTCCCAGTCAGTGAAAAGAGTCCAGAACTTTCCAACACCGACCTCCCTCTGTTCATTCTTTACTCTAATGTTGCTGCCTCCACAGACTGAGAGAAGATCAGACTAAAAGTTGTAAACTCATGATTTTACAAAAGCTTCTTTAGTAATGATTGTATCAGTGGTTCATGAAAAGGACCAGATCTGCTCTGTCTCACTGCACTGGAGTCTATTGACATCTTCATTGTCCCATTACAGCATTAGGCTGATCTGTGATGGCCTATCCACAGCACCAGAGAGACTCCAGCGGTGAACATGTGATACAGTCATGTGGCCTTCAATGAAAAAATGCTAATTAAACATAAATACAACTGGTTTATTAAAATCTAATAGCTCAACATGTGAAAGAATCAATAGCATAAAATGAAGCACCGACTGTTCTGTTACTCTTTGTCTTGGTCAGTGATCGGCTGAAAACACTTTAAATTCATTGACTGGGAAAATCAGTGGGAGGATCATTATCATATGTACAATAATTTGACACATCAAATAACAACATTTGGATGCGTCAAATAAGAATTTGACACATCAAATAAGCTTATAATATACGTTAAATAAGGTGTTGATGCGTTAAAACTAGGCGTGTGAACAATTTGGCTTGTCATACAGGTACACAATCCCTCTATATGCAGGCCTGACAATTACAAGGAGGTAGTAGTGTCCATTCCAAATTACTTTTAGTTAGGTAGGCTATAATGTAATATCTACTCAGTGACAAAAAGGTAGCTAATTTGAGGTGAACATGAGTGACAAACAAAATACATTGGAATGTAAATGCATCGAATTGAAAAGAAAACATGACACTAATAACTAATAGTTATTCTGTAACTTATTCAGTGGCGACCGGGAGCAACATCAACAGACTGATCTTTGTACTTACATTCAAAATGAATAAAGTGCATTTTGCATGTGAAAACATTGTGCTCTTCAGCTTTTTGTTTTTTTTTTTTCTTTTTTAATTCAATAATGAAAAACAGATGCATAGAACACTGTAAACAAGACTAGAGTCTCGAAATATGAACTGTCTCTAGTGCAACATTAATTGTAAGTTGTAACATTATTCAGTTAACCAGTCACCACATCGGTCAGGTGCTCTGTGCTGACGTCTGGAGGACTGATCTTCCTGGTGGCCTGACTGGCATGACCCTCCCATCGCACCCCCACCATGGTCAAGTATCACATGGGAAGGTGAGGACGGAAGAGATCCAACCACATTGCAATCAGCCATGAGCCAGCTCCAGCCACTTGTGTATTTGTTGCACATACTCAGGGGCTGAAGGCGCATGGTCAGAGTCCAGGGGCAAGCCAACCACAAGGTCCACTCGTTCACTTATTTCACGAACATTATGAAGTTTGGAGTGAACTCAGTTGCACTGTGCTTGGTTGCTCTGTATGCCATAACTGCATAAGGGATCATCAAGTCCCAATCCCAGTGACAGCGTTCCACCGTACAGGCAAGGATCTTTTGGAGTGTAGCATTGAAATGTTCAACTTGGCCCTCTGACTGGGGTCTGAATGGAGTAGTGTGGGTTTTGTCAATGCCCAACAAATGGCATATTTCCTGGAAGACCTCAGATTCAAAATTGCATCCCTGATCGCTGTGCAAAGAGTGAGGCATTCTGTGGTGGTACATCCATTCTGTTGCCACAATTTCTGCCACATTACTGCCTTTTCACCTGAATAGGAAACGCTTCAGTCCATTTTGTAAAATATTCTTGTATCACGAGCACATAGAGATTTTTGCGATCTGTCTCGTTGAGTGGTCCCATAATGTCCAGTTCCCATGGCAGCTTGTGGTGTCTTTTGGGGTCTGGCTCTGCGTGCACAGTTGGTACACGTACAGCACCAGAGGGCTACACCCTCTCTCATGCAGTACCAGTATCTGCTTCGAAGTCTGGCTACTGTATGTTCAACACCAAAATATCCTAGTCTACAGTATATACTGGTCCCTCGTGCATCTGGTGCGTAACATCAGGCTGTAGCTTGAGTGGCAGGATTATGTGAGGACAGTACTCAGTGTCGTCCAAACAGTAAAAGCGGTGGACCTTTTCCATTGTCTCCAATAGGTTTTAGTGGCTGAGCTGCATGGGGAGACTGTGGACCATGGGGAGTGCTCCGTGCTGGCCTCCAGCGAAGCTCAGATTGGTGCAATATCTGACTCTGAGGCTTGGGCCTCACACAGCTCCTCCATGGTCCAGCCAGAGAACAGTGTAGTCACATTTGTATTTGTCACATAAATTGTCTCTTTCAGTTTAAAAGTGTCAGTTTTAATCTGTGTTTGCACTTACCCCCACTGGGCTCACAGCTGTAGTAGTTGTAGGGCATATCTCTACCCCAACCAGACTCAGCGCCAGGGATCTGGAGTTGGAGTCCATTTAATAATAATAATAATAATAATAATAATAATAATAATAATAATAATAATAATAATAATAATAATAATACATTTTATTTATATTGGACTTTACATAAAATAATGTCAAAATGCTATGGGTAAAAACAGTGAATAAAAGTGCATCACCATAAAAGTCCATCAAGCTAAAACTATTACAGTACACAAAATAGAACCAATAAAATAAATTAAAATACAATGAGCAAAAGGCATCTGGTAAAAAGATACATTTTAAGATTTTGTTTAAAAACTCCAAGAGCCTTGGAGCTGCAGCAGAAAAGGCCCGATCACCCATGGTGCAGTTTGGTTCTGGGGGATTGGAGAGTGTTTGTGGATGCAGAGCCGAGGGAGCGTGAGGGGGTCTGGGGAGTGAGGAGTTCCTTAAGGTACTGGAGGGATTGTCCATGAATGTACTGCTGGGTGAGGGAGACCTTGTATTCAGTCCTGAGTGGGATAGGGAGTCAGGGAAGGGATTTCAGGATGGGGGTGATATGGTCAAATTTGGGATAGTTGGTATGCATCTTTTATGGTGCAGACGCTGAGTGCCCTGTAATCAATGCAGAGATGGTAAGTTCCATCTTTTTTACACACCATAATAATGGGTGAGGCCCAGCTCCTGTGGCTGTGGGTGGTGATGTCAGTGCGTGGGCTCTCACAGATCTGCTCTTCTGCACTCAGCTGTTTCGCTTCAGCCATCCGACGAGAGGGCTGCTTGAGTGGGGCTCTGGGCCGGGGTAAGATGTCGTGTTGGAAGAGGCCGGTCCAGGTCACTGGGTCCCCTGGTCCTACTGGACACAGTTTTATCAGTTGTTTCTTTTCATTATCATTAAGGTCATGAGAGCTCTGAGCATAGAGCTCCTGGAGGTGGTCTGGGACTGCAGGCGGGTTGATCAAAGAGTTAGACACACATTTCACAGCACACCTAAAGCAGCGATAGCTCCTCCTCCTCACTGCTCCTTCCTCCTCCTTGGTCCTTATAGTCTACCTCATCATGTCACTCTCAGAGATCAGCGTTAGGGAGAAGGAAGGACAAGGAAGGGGGAATTTTTGCACTTTTTTCGGATGAAGCCCGAGCTTCTCTTCGAATGTTTGTTTGTCTTTTGCATGCATGTTCACTCAACTTTATGTTGCAGTATTCAGGATATGCTGTATACATGTGCGCTCAGAAACCAGGACACTCATATCCCTGTGTACATGATCAAATGTAATATCCTGGTTTCCAGACATAATCTTACAAATAATCTTTGAGATAGTACTCTGTTTAATGCAGCTTTAGATTTTACAGAAGCAAAACTTAAAGCAAGTGTCTAATTTGCATAAACTATAAGTGCTGAAAAAGCAGTTCAGTCCTAGGACCCTGATGAGGTCAGCTTCTGTTGGACTAAAGGACACGACTCATCATCATCATCATCAAACTTCATTACAGTCTCCAGAGTTAAAAAAGACACACAGCAAACAAACTCTCTCAAAAACAAAATATTCACAGCAAACTGCTGTACCAGCGTCTCCACAGTTCAGACTGGAGCCTCGTGGTACTGAGTTTGCCATTGGTCAGGCTCAATCTTCTGTAACACTGTTCTCACAGGTGTTAAGACGACAGATGAACATGTACATTGGAATACATGTGTGTTCTTTCTGTGGCACAGGGACGTGCTGCTGATGGGGAGTATGTTTTGGTGTGTTTATCTCAGTGGAGTTGTTTTGTGTTTAACTTTTTAAAGGCCATACCTGTGCAGGTCATACGAAGGCAGACTGTCTCTGTGCAGGTCGTAAGAGTGCAGACTGTCTCTGCGTGAGCAGACTGTCTCTGTGCAGGTCATACATGTGCAGATTGTGTGTGTACAGGTTCAGCACAGCTCTTTATTTAACTTCATTTCACTCATGTACAGTCACTTTATTTATGTCATCTACTGTTGTGATGAAAAGACTGAGAGGTGTAAAAAATCTCATGAGACTCAGACTTTTTGTAGTCTGTTTTCTGGGAGCTGTAGTTTTCTCGCTGCTGGTTAGGAGGATCCAGTGCTCTGTCGATTTGAGCTTCCTAGCGCTACAGCACATGCACCTGACCATTTTCATTACATCATATTTTATTTTGTTTCCATGTGTAGAAAACGATGTAACTTTGTTTAGAAAGGCGATGTATACATAAAATATCATTATAATAGGAAATTCACAGTGTAGCCTATGATATATAGGAATATGTTTGTCTTCTTTGCACCACATTTGAGATGGATCTATGTTCTATGGTCTGATTCCAGAGCACCAGAGCATCGGGGGGACGGGACAGATCTCAGGGGATTGGAAAGTCGTCTTTGCTTTTCTCTCAGCTGGTTTGCATTGTGACTCTTGGCCCAGTCGTCTTTATGTTTTCACTCATATATTCCCAATGTTTTTAGGGATAGATTATAGATTTATAAAATATAGAGCTCCTCTTCTGTAGGTGCTGCTGATGATCACAATAAATGCACTGCAAAATATCTTCTTTTTATTTCTTTACCTCAAGGTCAAACCGATTTGGTACAGTTCAGTAAACATACACACACACAAATACACACAAAAAAGGTAATAAAAAGTACAATAAAAAGTTATGAGACATTTCTAAAAGCCTCATGTATGACCCTGAGTCTGAAATTTATAATTAATCACAAGTATGTACAGAGAAGTGGATTTTTTTGAGCGCTCAATTCTGAAATGCTGGACAATACAGGAATTCTCCAACATAGATGAATCAATGGATGATCAATACAACTATAAACAAATACAACAACATAGATAATGACGGACAACCATTATAACATGGCTAAAAGTACAAAGCTCAGTTTCATATAAATATGTCATAAGAACCTAACACACAAAGCCATTCTCTTTAGCAGTCCACAGTGCCATTCAAAACATGGTCATGTGTTGTTGTTTTAATGGTGATACCCCCAAACCCTGACACCAAAAATAAAATAAAATAAAAGCATAGAAAAAGGGCTGTCACAGTAACACAACTTGAAGTCCAAGAAATTATAATGTTGAACACAATAATCCTAAAGCAGCATTAATCACAAAAAGTATTCTAAATAATGAAATATATCAAATTTTGGTACTAAGGGACAGACTTGTGATACCGCAATAATAATAACATTTAGACCAGGGGTGTCAAACTCATTTTCACCAAGGGCCACATTTGGATCATGTTTGTCGTCAAAGGGTCCGTTGTAAATTTAAGACTGCAACTGTAACTGGGTCTGGTCAAGTGGTAACGGAGGGAAACAGGGTCAGATTTTTGACATTCAAATGTCTCTTTTTCAGAAACTAGAGGGACTATTGAAATAAGTAAAGTATCAGAATGTAGGAAAGAGTTACACTCCAACAGGGTCAAGTTAAACCTGTGATATTCTTTCAAGTTGTTGACAAAAAATTTAAAAAACTCATGTTGGTAACGGAGGGAATGAAATATGCAGCACTTTTTGGGCAATAAATCCAAACAGTGATAACTCTTGGTTCTCACTTCCATATCCTTAACAAACTGGTTTGAATATTTGCTTCATATAGTTTTCTACCATATGGTACAAGATTAGGTTGAAAAACCTCTTACTTTTTGACTCATGAGATTTTTTATTAAGAAAGGTCATGGTAACGGAGGGAAAAATGTCCAAGCAAGTAGACGGTGCATGATTTTAGATAATTTGTCGCTTTTTTCTTCCGAATACTTTAATATTACTTCAAAATGAAAGGAAACTATTTCTGTAAAATATGTCAGTCCTTCCAAGCAATTATTATTATTAATTATCATCATTTTAAATACATTTTTTTTGAAAAATCCTGTACCTTCATCAACAGTTCAAAGATGGAATAACACAAGATATGATGAAATACATCCATTTATTGACATGATTTGCAGATCTTTGAAATTTGGGAAATTATTTTTGTTCCATGTTTCATACATGGTTTGTTTAAAACGGATGGAACTTTAGAACCAAAAATGGTACAGAAAAAAGGTCAACAGTTTCATAAACTAGAGTACATATGTATCTGTTCAATACATTTTTATATCAGATGCATTAACTTGAATTTTTGAACTTGTTGACTTCTGCTTGACCAGGCCCAACTGTAATATCGGTATGTTACAAATCTGTAAAAGTCAATTTGATTTTTCATTTCATATTTATTCATTTTGTAAATTTTTATGTTTTTGACCTTTTTATTGATTTGACTAGTTTTATTGTCTTAATGAGGACGAGTAGAGTTAAGTAGAGCTTTATATTTCTATTGGACATGTTTTATCTGTACTGTGCAGCACTTGGGAAACTGTTTTGTTTATGAAATGTGCTGTAGAAATAAAGTAGATTGGATTTGATTTAAAGGTTTAAGTTAAAACATTCACATTACTCCTTCAGTAACATTCATGAAATAACTGTCCTTCTGCGTCAGTTTTTCTTTTCTTGGACATTTTTGGGGAGATTTGATGAGTTTTCTCGGCCTCTCTAGTGGCGAGATGCAGTCACTTCACGGGAGACAACTGTGGTGCATTGTGGGAGATGTAGTAGTGGCACAAAGTCACAACATAATAATAAATTATACCTTTTAACCCCTTGTGGGCCACATAAAATGGCTTGACGGGCCGGATGTGGCCCGCGGGCCTTGGCCTCGCCACATGTGATTTAGACAATAGAATGTGATTTTCAACATTAAATTCTAGTATTTTCTTGCCGTGTGTGTACTAGTCTATGTGTCTTCTACTTGTTCTGATCCAGATCAACATCATTCTAAAACTATTCAGGAAAGCTTCATTTCTGCCTGTCTCTGAATGTGACTTTTTTAGTATCAGTACTTGCTCAAATGAGGATCTACTTTTAGTTTTAGTATCGAACAGAACCTTTTCTAAATAAAATCATCTCGAGCTGTATCAGAACAAGTATAAGAGCACATATGCTACGTTTACATTAGAGCTTAAATTCCGAATAAAAATTATTTAATTCTGAATAAAGATTGATTCTGCTTTAAAAAGACCATGTAAACACTTAATTCCTAATAAAAAAGATTATTAAGTAAGTGGCTGGTTTATTCTGACCTTAAAGCCGAATGAATTTATTCCTGGATCATGTAACCGTTTATTCTTGTTAAAAATAATGTCGGTGGTTGAGTTCATGCTTGTTGTGTCGTCCTTCTCACATGATCCGGACGATCGGGCTCCACCAGTCCTGGCTTCGGACTTTGATCCAGGTCTCTTTGGATTTGTGAGCGGGATGCGGGAGTAGGCTGAGGTAGAGCAGCCTCACACTCAGTTTGTCTTCTTCCTCCCTTCTCCAACACTCTTCCCTTCTCCTCCTCAGCTGACAGTGTTGGGAGTAACGTGTTATAAAAGTTGTGAATTACTGTAATGCATTTCTTTTTGCTGTAACGCAGTAATGTTCGGCATTACAGGGAAAAAAAATGTAACATTTTACTTGGTACAAATGTGAATAACGTGCATTATAATGCATTTTTAACCTGGATTTAAGTGGTCATACAAATTCACTAAAATGACTGCGATATCAGCAGCGGTGAAATGCTGGAGACGCACCCACGTAGACCGTCAGGTAATTGTGGGTGAAAGGACCGAAGTAGAACTCTACGCTCCACGGGGCGAACCGCAGCCAACGCTCGATCGCACCTTGTAGACGCCCTGCTCCACGTACTCGGGGTTCTCTCAGGGGTGGTCTTAGATTCCAAGTCCTAGTCCCAGATTAGTCCAGATTTGGTCCTGGTTTAGACGTGGTTTAGTCCTGGTTCAGTTCTGGTTTAGATGTGGTTCAGTCCTGGTTCAGCTCTGGTTCAGTTTTGGTTTCGTCCTAATTTAGTCCTGGTTCAGTACTCGGTTCAGTCCTGGTTCAGTCCATTATACGGCACAAAAGTTTAGCATCTTCGCACAGTTATTTTGGTGAGAGTAACTTAAAAGTAATGTAATAGTAATGTAATGCTTTCCATTTTAAATGCAGTAATATTATAATGTAACGAATTACTGAAATGACAGTAATAATTCATAAATAACGCATTACAGTTTCAAAGTAACTTGCCCAACAGTGTCAGCTGACAGATGTAAGGCGTGATGAGAGAATTCTCCAGCTGCTGCACAATTATCATCGGAACCATTAAGAAAAAAGATTGGATCTTGTTTGTGTCCGTGGAGTAACGACAAACCGAGATGACAGAAAAGCCGGTAGCAGCTGAAGTGTGTGTTTTCTTCCGGTCGACGTCAATACGTTGGTATCTCTGTCCAATCAGAACCTTCCTCACCCCCAGACACTGAGAGGAATTTAATAAAGACAATTTAACGTTTTTTCCATATAAACCTCAATTTGGAATTATTATTTCCATGTAAACTCGAAGGAGAATATTTTAATTCAGAATAGTTAATTCGGAACTAAAAAACATCATGTAAACGTGGCTGGAGACTATACGCCCATGGACACTATGGAACCTACGTGGACCACTGAGGATTACACACATATAAGTCACATGGGAATAGAAAAGAAAGTATTACCATTTAATGTTGAAAATCACAGTATATTGTCTAAATACAGAGTGTGTTTTATTAGCAGTGTTGTATCAGAATCTGTATTGAGAATCGAGTCTATTCCTTAGTATTGAAATCGAGTTTGAAATTTTAGTATCGTAACACTAACTGTGACAGGCCTAAGCATAAATAAAAGACCTTCATTCCACTTCTGTGAGCCTCTTCTTCTTTGGCAGTTCAGAATGTTCCCATGGCAGAGACCTCTTCTGTGACCCTGCAGAGAGTTCGCATTGTGGCTGAGATGGTACTGGAGGTTGGTCTCCAGGAGAAGAAGCTCCATTGTACCCTCCATGTGCAGAAGGTCCACTGAATCCTCTGAAACTTCCAGGAGCAGCCGGTCCACCGAATCCTCTACGAATGTGACAGAAAGTTGTTGGAACAGGGGCTCCACTGATGTGTGCAGGAGGAGCAGGTCCATAGAAGCTTCTGAAACCTTGAGGAGCAGAGGGTCCAGTAGCAAAGGGTTCATTGATTGCCCTGGAATCTCCAGAAACACCTGCCATAGCATCGAGTCCATTCAGGTGTCCACGAGGAGAGGGTCCATTGAAGGTTCTGAAAACTCCAGAAACATTGTAGAAAAAAGGTGAAACAGTGGGTCCACAGAATTGTCGAGGAGCAGAATGTCCATTGAAGTGTCGTGGAGAAGCAGGACCTTTGAAATTTCTAGGAAAGGTGGCTCCACTGAAACCTCTGAAGATTCCAGGAGCACTGGGTCTATGAGGACCTAACCCTAACCCTCCATTCAAACATCCAGGAGCAGAGGTTCCCTTAAAGTGTCCAGGAGAAGCAGATCCAAGAGCAGCAGGTCTATTTAAGTCCTCAGAATAAATGAGTCCATTGAGGTGTCTAGGAGCAGAAGGTCCTAGAGCGATAGGTCTAAGAGCACAAGGTCTAGGAGAAGCAGGTCTAGATGAAGCAGGTCTGTTTAAGTCCTCAGGAGAAGTAGGTCCTTTGAAACCTCTGAGGCCCCCACGAGAGGCAGGTCCAAATGAAGCGGGTCTGTTCAAGTCCTCAAAAGAAGTGAGACCACTGAGGTGTCCAGGAGCAGACGATCTACGAGAAACGGGTCCAGATGAAGCTGATCTTTTTGAACCCTCAGGAGAAGCGGATCCATTGAAACTTCTGAATCCCCCAGGAGAAGCAGGTCCAGATGAAGCAGGTCTATTTAAGTCCTCAGGAGAAGTGAGTCCAGGAGCAATAGGTGCTGGCGCAGAAGGTCCATTGTCTGTCTTTTCTGCGTGCGTCTGTGCGATGGCGAGCAGAGCGCAGTAATCTTCTCCACTGCACGAGTCAGGAGGGACAAAGTTCTCCAGTCGCCCTGTCTTCATTTTGTGAAGCAGAACATGAAGCAGCGTTCCACTGTACAACCTGCACACAACAGAAGAAAGACTGAAAATGCATTTATGTATTTGAAGTAGAACAGTCAATACTAATCAGTGTATCAGCTAGTACTGTTGGGCAGGTGACTTCAAAACTGTAATGTGTTATTTATGACTTGTTACTGTCATTTCAAAGTCATTTGTTACATTGCAATATTACTGTATTTAAAATGTAAAACATTACAAGACTACTGCAGTATTTTAATTTATTCTCACCAAAATAACTGAGCAAAGATGCCGAACTTTTGCGCCATATATGGACTGAACTAGGACTAACCGAGGACTGAACCGAGGACTGAACCAGGTCTAAACCAGGACTAAACCAGGACTGAACCGAGGACTGAACCAGGACTAAACCAGGACTAAACCAGGACTGAACCGAGGACTAAACCAGGACTTAACCAGGACTGAACCAGGACTGAACAGAGGACTGAACCAGGACTTAACCAGGACTGAACCAGGACTGAACCAGGACTAAACCAGTAAAAACATTAAACATTAAATTGGGCAACACCACAGACATTACTTGAAATTACAAAACATCTACCTACATGTGAGAAGGCCTAAGAGCAAAACAATAACTAGAGGACAGGTCAGAATTCTCTGATGAAATGTCCTGTTACTTAACTAAGTGACTGCAGATTTGTTGACCTGGTTTATATCTCTGTAATTCCTCTCCACATGAAGCAAAAACTGGCACAAAGTTCAGCGTCTTTTCTGTCAGGAGAAATAAACTAAAGTCAAATGATTTTTTTCACAATCGCTTCAGAAAGTGGAGCCATTATTCAACCCCAAAGACGTGAGTGTTGTCAGCTGAAACGACTTTAAGCCATAAGAATAATATGACACGTTTGTGGAGCTGATCCCAAACAAATAATGAGAAGGTTTAACATTTGTGGATCAGAAGTTTGGAGATTTCCTCAAAAACACTGAATCTCCCATAGAGTTATATAGACCCTACCCTCGATCTGAAACTATGACAGCATCAAATTTTAGAACGTGAACGCAGCCTAGATACTAGTATTTATGTCTGTTCTCAATTCGGAGTAATAACATTTGGGAAAACAATCTAACATAAGAACCGCAAGCATTTCAGAACATTGTCAGAACATCTCTGTGTGCCACTCCCATATAAACCTCCTGCTCACTGATCCATAAGTGAGTCAGAGGAGATGTCCACACAACACAATATATAACACAATATACACTGTACATCATGTAACATGAGCCATTACCCAAGTCCATCAGTCATATGTTCTCACTGGGCAAGGAAATTACATAAAAAATAAATATAACATTATAAGAAGTGTTTAATTTTATATTCTTGATTCAAGCCACTAGGGGGCAGAGTTTTTAAGGAATAAATATCAGCACTTTCTCTTTGTAGGAGCAGCCTGTTAATATCCCCTCTTCTTCTTGGGGCTTCACCTGTTCTGTCCCAATATATTTAAGGGAGGAGACAGAGCTGCGCTTCTTTAAAATGAGCAGCTACTGGGTTTCTTAGGTCTCCATTTCTAATATTTATTCAATATTTTACCAGGTAAGTCAATTAAGATCCTTCTCATTTGCAATGACGACGTGGCCAAGAGGCAGGATGAAACAGAAGCACAAACAAAAAACACTCACACATCAACCATAACATGAAACAGTGAACAGAGACGTGAGACATTTGCAGATTAAAGATATAAAAGTGTTAAAATTATGTGTAATGTTCCTGTAAAATACTCTAGATGGAGTTTTTAAAAGTCTATGGAGGTAAAAATGAACAAAGTTTGAAAGTGGTTCCAGTCACAGCAGAGAACTGAAATGAGGAGCGACTTTCAACTGGAGCGTGTGTCCTGCCGCTGCCCCACAAAAACACCACGGCACAAAAACCTCGTCAGATCTTCTCCTTCTCAATCTCCTCCTTAAAACAAGTAAGTTGTTCATGTTCTGGCTCCGGTACGAGAGGAACTTTAAAATCTCCAGGTGCTCAATGCTGCGTCCATGTTTGGACAACTTCCGTAAACACAGAGCACACTCGCTGCGGTTGACGTCGTTGTGTCTCCAGTGCACATGCGGGACACTTTCGGGCCATTTAATGTTCACACTGGAGATCACATACAAGTCACATTTAACTGGAAATGTGAACGACCTCGAAAAAACATCGGATTTCACAAAAAATCAGAATTGAGCGTTAAGCCCTGCAGTCTGAACGTAGCCATATTGCTCCTATGTTTGGATTCAGATTTAAGTCTTAAGTGCTCTAGATGTTTTTCCTACATGGTCTACAGGGGCATTTTAAAAGGTAAACTACATTTTTGGCGGAGTATGTAACTGTCCCTTAGATTTTCATAATCTTCCCTTTGATTGGGTGTGAAATGTGTAAGTTTTACATTTCTAAGTAAAATGACACTGTGTACATGACTTGCAGCGATACTTTCCTGGTGGAGGGTCTAAAAATTTTCTGCTTTTGGGTGGAATCAGATTAGACTTTAGTAGCACTATTAACAGATAAGAATATACTGTATTTACTGTGCAATGGGCGGCTGTGGGAGAGGCGCTCTGAGCAGCTGATTCAGGAGAAAACTCTCTCTGAAACATGACTGCCATTCATTCAGCCAGTGACACCAGTCCAAGTCCAAACTCTGCCTCGAATCTGGGTCCTCGGCTGCAACAAAAAAAACAATACAGTAACACAGAGATCAGGAGTCTAACCCACAACCTCCTTACTGAGAAAACGGGACAGGGTAACCACTCTGCCGCACAGAGAGGACGGCACACTCCACTCAGAGAAATCAGTTATTTACCTGCTTTTGATCTGAGGTCACCACCTTTGCACCAGCCAATCAGCAGGGCCTTCAGCAGTGACAGGTGCGGAGGGGGCGTGGCCTTCTTTAGCCAATAGCAGGTGGCGGCCATCGGGAGCGTCAGGTGAGACAGGTGAGAGGGCAGTGACGTGTGGAACTGTGGGTCCAGTCCCAGGGCGTCCAGTAGCACCTGACGCCGCTGCTCCTCTGTTTTCTGTGGAGCAGAAAACTGTAGCGTTATTTTCACAGGGAGAGTTAATAGTCTGCACTGTTCACAGACAAGGCCAACTGCAAAGGCAACTACAGTGTGGGAATATAACACCATTTTTGGCGTTCATTTCTTACTAGTCTAACCTTATGGGTGAAGGCATTCTGTAAATATACTGTCCTGATATTTTGCAGTCACGCTTGAGTATGTACGAATGTATGGACATATGTATGTACGTATGTATGTATGTGTGTATGTATATATGTGTGTGTGTATGTACGTATGTACGTATGTGTGTTTATGTATGTATGTGTATGTATATGTATGTATGTAGTATGTATCTATGTATGTATGTATGTGTGTTTATGTATGTACGTATGTATGTATGTATGTATGTATGTATGTATGTATGTATGTACGTATGTGTGTTTATGTATGTATGTATGTATGTATGTATGTATGTATGTGTTGTGTATGTATATGTGTGTATGTATGTATGTATGTATGCGTATGTATATGTATGTATGTATGTATGTATGTATGTATGTGTGTTTATGTATGTACGTATGTATGTATGTATGTATGTGTGTATGTATGTACGTATGTATGTATGTATGTATGTATGCGTATGTATGTGTATGTATGTATTTATGTATGTATGTATGTATGTATGTATGTACGTATGTGTGTATGTACGTATGTATGTATGTATGTATGTATGTATGTGTATGTATGTATGTATGTATGTACGTATGTGTGTATGTACGTATGTATGTATGTGTATGTATGTATGTACGTATTTATGAATCTATGTGTGTGTGTATGTATGTACGTATGTGTGTATGTATGTATGTATGTATGTATGTATGTATGTAGGTATGTTTGTATGTATGTATGTATGTAAGTATGTATGTATGTATGTATGTATGTATGTATGTATGTATGTATGTATGTATGTATGTATGTACGTATGTATGTATGTATGTATGTATGTATGTAGGTATGTTTGTATATGTATGGCAAAATATTTATTTTCTACCATGGTGACACAATGCACACTTTAGCAAGAACCTGTCAAAACAAAACTCAGACTTAAGTTTAACTTGAGCAACTGAGCTTTAGATGGAGCAATGCCTGAAGTTAGCATCACACCCTAGAGAATGTTGATGATATCAGCTGCAGTATCAACACAGTCTATGTGTAGAGTCTATATCAGAGGTGTTCAATAGGTGAGGCCCGCCTCCCCTGGGGGGCGCCAAAGAGCCACTGGGGAGGTGCAACAGACATGCACAGAAAAAATAACAGCCCACATGTGTACACATCTGCAGCAGGATTGATATCGGTAAGTGTGCGTGTGTGTATTAGCTATAAAATGATGGCACCATTCTGACAACCGGAATCAGAACTAAAACCAGGACTCAAACAGAAATAAAACCTGGACCAAAACAGAAATAAAACAGAACAAAAAAAACAGGACTAAAACAGAACTAAAGCAGAACAAAAAACAGGACTAAAACCAGGACCAAAACAGAACTAAAACATAACTAAAACCAGGACCAAAACAGAACTAAAACATAACTAAAACCAGGACCAAAACAGAACTAAAAACAGGACTAAAACTGAACTAAAACCAGGACTAAACCAGTACTAAAACAGAACAAAAACCAGGACTAAATTAAAACATAAACAGGACTAAACCAGGACTAAAATCAGGAATAAAACTAGATCTAATCCAGGTCTAAACCAGAACTAAACCAGGACTAAAACCAGGACTAAACCAGGACTAAAACCAGGTCTAATCCAGGACTAAAACCACATCTAAACCAGGACTAAAATCAGGACTAAACCAGGTCTAAACCAGCTCGATCTTTACCTACTCTCGGGGGAGACTTACATTCACCTAATTTGAAAACTCCGGCTCTGTACACTGTGTGACTGGGCATTACCTGCTCTAGAGACTTGATGCAGAATGGGACCTCCTCTGGTTGGACCTTGTTGTATTGGACGTCCAGTCCATCTCTGTCACGTTCCTCCACAGTCAGGGGTCTGTCCCTCCCCAGCAGCAGCCCGTACATCACCCTCCTCAGGGGCAGAGAGACCAGGTTAGCACTGGGTTTGTCCTTATGGTCCACCACCACGCTCAGACCCACTCGCTGTGAGGTCACCACATCCAGGAAGTCTGAGCTGAACTGGGCGTTAGTCACTGGGACTCTCATCCAATCAGGGACCTTGCCCACCATCTGCAGAAAGTATTTGAAAATTACAAATATTATTTTGCAAAACTGACATACTTAAGGTGTCTCCCTGTAGTGCAGAGGTGTCTAAGCTATGGTCTGGCCCTATGTGGCCCTCAGACCTCCTGCTGAACTGGCCCAACTGGTCATAAGCAGAATGTTTTACTGAGTTTAAATAATACTACCACTATTACCTCAATAGAGTCACATTGCATTTGTGAAACACATCTAAAATGAATGTTCCAAGTGTTATACAAGTTTTCAGCTTATCCACAAATGGGTGGAAGTAAAAGGCTGGAGACCAACTGGACGTCTTAAGCAGGAGAAGTTTATTTATCATCAAGAATACAGCCCAGGGGACTTACAAAGTCAACATAGTATGATTTTAAAAGTCAACATAGTATGATCTTTGCGTGTTCAAGCCCATTTACTCTGCTTCCAAAGGAGGAGGTTGATAAAGCAAGTGTGGTGAGACTGTGAAGGCCAGTAGACAGCGGTGAGACAGAAATATGCCACAATATAGATACTGGTACCCCAACAAAAGATGATTGTGTTACTATCTGTGAGTCACTGATAAACTGAGAGATGTACGTGAAGGATAAATTACTTAAATTCTCTTACACCAGGGACTTAAAATGCAAAATAAAATGCAATGCCTCTGTCAAAGCTGTGCGGAGCACCCATCTCTATTTCTTTATTTCACTGATCTGTGGCCCTCCCATCTGACAATGTTTCAAAATGTGGCCTACAGTGAAAATGGCTTGGACAGCCCTTCTCTACTGAGCTCAAACTGTCAGTGCTCAAGTCTCCACTGTTTCAACTTTATCACAGAATAGGCAGAAACTACAATTATAATCAGCATGAAGAATTTCAGCCCCTGGTCCAAACATTCATCTGGGGCCTCTGCACATCTCTGTGTGTATGTTGTTAGCTGACGGTCTGGCAGTGCAGGGTAAAGCTACAGGAGTAATAATGGTAATCTATAGTAGCCAGCAGACTTTGGTAAAGGTGTCTTCACTTATAAACAGTCCCAACAGCATCATTACATAAAAATGTCAAAAACTAATGCACAATTTCTGATTTTGTCACTGTTTGTAAATATTCTCTATGTGGAAGCCTTCTGTCAAAATATTTTATTTGGTAAAGAATTATAAAAATTGCTACAATCGTTTGACTAGTCAACTAAGTGAAACATGTATCTCTGACTAGTCAACTGCTCAAACAATAGTTGCAGCCCTAGTTCTGACAGTAAAACTCTCCTCATGCAAAAGCCTTAGGTAGAGAAGTGTCATTCTGTGTCTGACCTGCGGGGGCAGCGGTGGTGTGGTGCCCTCACAGAAGTAGGCACTCAGAGGACTGGGGGGGAGGTCGTAGTGACGGGACACTTCCATGAGACTCCTCAGCTTCTCCTCCGACTGAAGCTTCCTCCTCACCTCCAGAGCTGCCTTCAACACCTCCTGAGGATCCACCACAGCCAGGTTCCTGTGCAAAGAACCAGATGTGAGATTCACATTTTAAAGAAGGCCAGTTGTGCTTGTGTCTGTTATATAGTTATATTCTATAACTGTGGATCATTATGTTGTCATTTGGACATTTAATCTAAAATTACGAACTAAAAGAAGCAAGTCTCCTTATTATAATAGAAGACTGCGGGGCCCAGTGGGAGCTGACGTCACCATAAACATCATCACAACAAAGCGCCACATGCTTTGTGTCGCTACCATACAGACATGGACAAAACTGTTGGTACTCCTCTGGCAATGAAAGAAAAATCAAGAGTTGTCACTGAAATAAATGAAATAAATATGATAAAAGCAATGATAAATTAAAATGTACTGAAAATTGCCCAACACAAACATTGCTTTTCACCTGTGGTTCAACAGAATCATTTGAAAAAACAAAATAATAATGAATAATAATAATGTACCTGGCCTGGACAAAAATTAGTTAACTTAATATTTAGTTGCACAACCTTTTGAGGCAAACTCTGCACACAAACGATTTCTGTAACTGTCAGTGACACTTCTGCTCTGGTCAACTGGTATTTTAACCCACTCCACGTGAGCAAAGTGTTCTAGTGTCTCTGGTTTGAAGGATGTCTTCTCCAGATGCATGTCTCAGCTCATTTCACAGATGTACAACAGAACTGAGATCTGGACTCACAGAAGAACACTCCAGAACAGTCCAGTGTTTTGTTCTTAACCATTTAGCTGTTTTTTTGTTGTTGTTTTTTTCAGTTTCAGTTTATTTTTTTATTTTATTTTTTTTTATAATTCTGTTGAACAACAAATCAAAAACAGTGTCTGATTTTCATTGGTTATTTGTCAGGAATTTTTTTGTTTAGTATTTCTTTACTCGGTTTCAGGTTATTTCAGTGACCATTGGTGATTTTTCTTTCATTATAAGAGGGGTACCAACAATTTTGTCCATGTCTGCACATCACAATAGTGGGTAGTGATTTTATTTTATTTTTTCAAAATCGCTACATGAAGGAAGTCTGGAAGTATAAGGAACAGTGTGACTGATCTAACAGTTTTCAACACTTCAAACTCCAGGTGTTTGTGGTCAGAAACACCAGGCTGTGATCACAGCAGTTCTGTGTGATGTCACCAACTACTGCAAATCACAGAAGCCACTTAAAATTTATATTTTTTTTAATTAAAATTTAACCATGCTTAACAATTCTACAAACAGGCCCAATAATAAGTTGTAGAAACAGGTGGTCCTCAGAGCTCTGACCTGATCCACTGGAGCAGAGAGCTCAAGTCTCCAGTCCACACCGGCTTCTTCAGGTAGTCGTTTCCTGCTAAAACTGCAAAGACGGGCAGGAGCTGAGGGCTCATCTGGTTCACCTCACAGAACCAAGAGGAGAAGTACCTCTTACAGGGAATGTATCTCCTAGCACCACACTGCAGCACCTGACGCCACCTGCAGGACACAACACACACTGCATCTATTACACCTTTTCATTAGGATTATGTTCAGCCCTGTGAACTGTTCACCTGCAGTCAACTGTGAAACCTCTGAGAAAATGAATGGGAAAGGTATGTTCTGTACCATTAAAGTGACAGTATGGATCTTTCTGCAGGTGAATGATTCCATTTAAAAATAAAGAGTTAAAAAAGTATTTGGGTACATACATAAATATGTTAAATGCCATACTGTGGAACATTATAGTCAAAGAAAAAACATTTCCATGGAAACAACTAGAGATGCACCGATCTTTTTCAGTTCCAATACGGATTTTGACAGTAAAAAGAGTATCTGCTGATGCCCACTATCTACTGATAAAAGTGCAGAGACTGAAAATAGTCTGTATTTCAAAAACAAAATAAGACAAACCTGATTCAAATGTGTTCTGGAGCTGTTCTTTCTCCCTCAGGTAACTGCAGAACAACTTTCTATAAATACAAATTCATACATTATGGGACTATGACCAGTAAGTCTTATTACATCACTTTCTTAGTTCAACCAGGATAATGGCTGAACTGTTATTTAGAAGCTGATATCTGATCCTGCACATTTTTCTGTATCGGTCAATCCAGTATCAGCACTGGATCAGTGCATCTCTAGAAACAAGCAGGAGGCAGCTCTCCTCCAGGTCTAATAAGAGTCAGGTTTGTGGAGAATAGAGACACAAGTCCGCTCACAGTAAGGACATGATTTTTTATGTTTTTCAGTGTTATAAAAACATCAATAACAAAAAAACATTGCAAGGCTTTGGGGGCAGGAGTGCTACTTGGATATGCAAAAATTTAGCAGAATTGTTCTTTTGGTGCTCTTCAGTGTAGTGACCAACGCAGGAAAAAACTGAGGCACTCAAAAAGTACTAAATAATTAAAAGCCTTTAATAGCACATGGCAGATAAAGTTAAAATACGCCAATGCGTTTTGGCCCTTCGGCTTCATCAGGGCAAACTCCAGATGGAGATCACAGTGCAGATTAAAAGTCATAGGTGTAGGTCACATGTTCACAGTGGGCTGGCCCACAGTCCCCTGGTGCATGATGGGACATGTAGGCCTAACAAATTTTAATTACAGGCTATACAAGTTCAAATACAATAATACAAGACATAAATGGTGCAAATCCAAACAACCAATACATAGAAAGATACATTATATGAAAATAGTATAAAATAGTATAAAAAAAACTCATATAAAAAGATACATAGTGTAAGGATATATATAGTGTGATGGGAAAAACATTTTTCGTATATTTATTTGACAAGAAAGTTACATACCATAACTTGTCCTACATTATGCACAAAACTTCTTGTGAACTTCAACCATGTTATAATATCGTTACCTCTGCAAACGGTGTTCTTTTGTTACAGTCACACTTGCTTGAGTAATCCTGGTTCAATAGTCTGCAGGTTTTGTGCGTTAAATATGTGAATGAAACAAAACACAACTCCAGGTCTGTTTGTGATGAGGAAACGACATTAGAACAGATCAGCAAACAGTGTAATACAGGCCCTTAAACAGGCTCAAAAACATCCTACCACAACTGAGCACTGCTGGGCAAGTGACTTTAAAACTGTAATGTGTTATTTATGACTTATTACTGTCATTTAAAAGTAATTTTAAAAGTAATTCATTACATTACAATATTACTGGATTTAAAATGTAAGGCATTACATGACTATTGCAGCACTTTAAGTTACTCTCACCAAAATAACTACGAAGATGCTGAACTTCTGCGCCGTATATGGACTGAACCAGGACTAAACCAGAACTAAAGCAGAGCTGAACCAGAACTGAACGAGACTAAAACAGGACTCACTGTCGGGACGGGCTCGAAGGTGATCGCAGGAGAAAGGAGCGTCTTTGCTCCACACCTCACAGAGGTAAGAGCGGCTGTCGCCTGATCACACTTTACAGACACCCTGCTGCGGGGGCTCATGGTCCTGATTTCAGTAACTATTTGCAGATACCCGACCCGTTACAAGACTCTGCTACAGGGCGTAACTTCTCCCTTCCTTCAGCGTGTCCAGAAGTCCAACTTTTTGTGCAATGGTTACATCGTTCTCTGCCTTTTGGGTGCGAGTGCAGGAGCCTTTGTCAGTGCAGACATTTTGTCGACGTTGTGGATTTTGTCAGGGAGAGAACTTACAAACATACAGCACTTCAGGATCACAGTGATACAGATCCAACATGTATGTACATTTGGCAGCTGAACACATTCTGCACTGTACTGTAGAGGAGACAGGAGTCCCTCAGCCAATCAGGACGCAGCGGGAGGAACGCAATACATGTTCATACACTGTAAAAACAAAAGGCATGCAAAAGTGCACTAAAAAAATCCACAAAATAGCGAGACCACGAAAGGTGAAAACGCGATAGAGCGAGGGACGACTATAAACCAGGTCTAAACCAGAACTGACCCAGATCTAAACCAGGTCTAAACAGTGTGGTTCTGCATCCGTCCTTTCTCCCACGGCATCTCCGACGTTTCACTACTGCTGATATCGCTGTGATTTTAGCGAATTTCTATGAAGAAAAACCCACCACTTCAATCCAGGTAAAAAAGGATTGTAACACGCGTTACTCACATTTGTACCGAGTAAAATATTACAAATTTTTTCCCCTGTAATGCCGAACATTACTGCGTTACAGCAAAAAGTAATGCATTACTGTCACTTGTTACTTTTATAACGTGTTACTCCCAACACTGCAACCGAGTGTATAAACCTCACGCACATCTATGACCAGGAGAACATGGACCAGTGCAGCGCTTCTCAAACGAACAAATCCATTCATGTTTTTGAATAGAGGAGCAGAGGAGCAGAGGAGAAGGTTAAAGGATGCAGAGGAGAGGATGAGATGGTGCAGAGGATGCGTTGTACCTGAAGTGTGTAGTGGGCAGCATTCCTCCGCTCAGGGGGAAGATGAAGAAGTCGGTGTCGTCAGAGAGCACGGGACAGAGCCACATGTGAGCCAGTGCTGCCGCCTGGAGGGGAGAATGTAACAAAACTGAAGCTCAGTGACATTATTCAAATAACAGCCTATTTTAATACACTGCTTTTACTATTGTGGTGTTAAAATAAACCCATATGGCACAGTTTGACTCTCTTTGGTATCGGTCCGGTTTGGAGCTCTTCGGCAAGGATCTTTTCAATATCTCTGTAGTAAGTAAGTCTATAACTGACAAAAGCTTTCTGTAGTGAAGGCTGTATCAAGTGGTGAAGTTTCCTGAGTGCACCACATGTGTATATCAAACACTGAATTTAAATATTTGGTTGAATATTGTTTAATGAAGTTACACATTGAGTTTTTAAACACTGAATCTGTTATATATGTTTAAAGGTTCTACTGTGTGTCCTGCATAATGGGAAACATGTGCTTTTAAGGACATTGATTTGCAGAGACAAGGCTGTGGAGACATCCCGGGCTGGTGTTACACAAACAGACTTGGAGGTGATTTAAAGATGGTCTGGTGGGGGTTGTCATCTGTTCACAGAGAAGAAATGCAGAGATGCTTGAAGAAGGATCCAAGGCGTGAACCTGCTCAACATATTCTGCAAAGCTTTCTTAACTGATCGAAATACAATTTTAAAAGCAGACAGCTTTCACCCCCCATGGTTACTTCAGAATATCCCTTATGGTCAGTTTCAAAGACTACGGCGGATTTGTGATACTGAATCGAACTTTGAAAAAAATGCTCAAGATATGAGCTGTAGATTCAAAAACAGAGGCTACACAGACAGTACTTTGTCTTTAGCCTACAATCGAGCCAAAAGTCTTAATAGAGAAGAACTATTGACTCAGAAACCAAAGAAAAATGTGCATACTAACCAAATGTATTTTGTAACTGCATATGGCACTGAAGCAAACCGAATCAAACAAATAATCAATAATAATATATATATATATATATATATATCTATATATCTATATCTATATCTATATATATATATATATATATATATATATATATATATATATATATATATATATATATATATATATATATATCAAATAATCAGAACTGGAGTATATTAAGAAGTAACAGTATCCTAAGAGACGCTCTCCCAGAGACCCAACATCAGCTTTAGAAAAGCCCCAACGCTCAGTGATAGACGAGTGAACAGTTCTCTCCCTCCATCCAAACAAAAGACATGGTTGGACACTAAGGCTGCTACAGATGTGGTAACTGTACCTATTGTGAACATGTACTACAGACTAACTCATTCATGGACATTCACTCAGGTCAACGTTTTTATATTAGAACATTCATTAATTGTAACACCACTTATGTAGTATACAGACTCAAACGCCCATGTGGTCGTTTCTACATAGGCTGAACAAAATGAAAATCTGTGCAATTGAACATATTAAAGAAACAATAAGAGGAGGAGACAGACTGAAAAAACTATTACAGAGAGAGACCTACTGGATCTACACTCTCAAGGCTACACAGTTTCCAGGACTCAGTGGAGAGTTAGATTTCTCCCCTTTCCTTTAAAACCACAAGCTTTAAATGTGTAATCAATCCTTGCTCTATATCCCTGTCTTCATGAAATTATTTAAGACTAGCCCTTAAATATATTATGCAAACTACAGTCATAGCTGAAGCACTTTTGAATTATCACACTATATAAATATCCTTACACTATATATCTTAAGTTTTTAATACTATTTTATACTATTTTCATATAATGTATCTTTCTATGTATTGGTTGTTGGGATTTGTACCATTTATGTCTTGTATTATTGTATTTGAACTTGTATAGCCTGTAATTAAAATCTGTTCAGTCTACATGTCCCATCATGCACCAGGGGACTGTGGGCCAGCCCACTGTGAACATGTGACCTACACCTATGACTTTAAATCTGCACTGTGATCTCCATCTGGAGTTTGCCCTGATGAAGCCGAAGGGCCGAAACGCGTTGGCGTATTTTAACTTCATGTGCTATTAAAGGCTTTTAATTATTTTGTACTTTTTGAGTGCCTCATTTTTTCCCTGCTCTGCTCAACATATTATTTGCATATTCATACTGTTTTTTTTCTATGTCTGGGTTGAGGGACACACAGGCGTTCAGATCGTCTGATGTCAGTCCTCTGTAGATGTAGACCGTCAGGGGCAGTGATTTGACCCAGAGCTCTGTATTAGAATTGTATTGGAAAGGAAATACATTTTTTGTGATTTAAATTGATTGAGTCTAGTCATTTTTGGTAGTAGACAGTAATGATGAAATGATATGAACATTTGGCTTCTTGCACCGCTACTTCAAATATGATTTTGTGTATTATTTTTATATGTTTATATGATGTTTTGTCATATTATAAATCAGATGTTACTCTTTAAGTTACATTTAACTGAGTAGTAGTTTTCCTAAATACTTGAGTAATTTCTCGGACCACTATGTGATTGTACTTGAGTAATATTATTTTAAAGTGATGTGAGTTTAAGAGGATGTAAAACAGGCACATCACATGAGAGGCAGTTTTTACAAAACAGCTCATTTCTTCAAAACGCTTAAAGACGATTTCTGGTCATTTTCTGGCTGTTAATCTGTAGACTTTGGGCTTTTAAAGGAGCCCTGGATTGTTCAGCTACTCTGTCCAGCAGCTTTGTGACAAGCTGCAAAAAAAAAAAGAAAGGAAAATTGGAGGACAAACCTCCTCCAGCAACATAGTAGCATATCACAGTCCACTGATAGACAGATCAGACAGATCAACACTGTTGACTGTGAAGGAAATTCAAAACTCGACAGCAGCAAAATAGAAAATGTTTCTTCTTCATTGTAGATTTGCAGGCCAGTCTCTAGCACTCGTCAGGTACAGGGATGCACTGTACACACATACGGCAGGTGGAGGAGCCTCTGTGTGGAGCAGGACAGGAGGCTCCCTGTCTGCTGCTGATGCTGTGCACACTGTGTACTGGGGCTTATCTACAATGGACAGGACTTTCTTCTGAGCCACAGATGGACTTTAACTTTTGTTAAAATCCTTTCTGAGAAAGTACAGCCCACCAGTTTCTATGCTGGCAGAGCAAACTGAAAAACAATATCAAAAAAGGTTTTGCAGGTGGAATCTGGTCTTGTTTTCTGGTCTTTTTACGCTTTTGTGAAAGAAAAAAAATACAAAAATGGGCCAAGGCCAAGGGCTCATTGAATCAAACCGGAGACCTTTTGATTACAAGTCAGAAGTTCTACCACTGAGCTACAGCCTCAGCAGAGCTGTTTGAACAAAAAACTTTGGTATTTATCTCTATAACATACGATTCTACTGTGATCCATTGTTGGACTATGCACATTTAACTCCACGTCTGTTGAAGCACAACTGCAAAACAAATGTTTTTTTGTTTTTTCTGAACTAGGCTCTTGAAGCTTTCAACAAGCCTTCACACAACTCTTCAGCACAAACACACAGTTGACTGTTGTGTCCTGAAGAGGTGTTCTTCTTACTTGAGTACAATCTCTGGCTACTCCACCACCTCTGCCGATAGAAAAGTGCCCGCAGCTCCCCTTTACCCCGCCCTGAGCGCGCACCTGCCGATCGGCCTCGGTGAAGCAGCGGGCCAAAGGGACCCCCAGCCGGTCCAGTGTCTGTCTGAACACTTCCCAGATGAGGGTGGGCAGGACGTGCATGGAGCGGCCCCTCTCGGCGGCGCTGTGGGCTCTCCGCACCTTCTTCATGGCCCTCTTCCTCTGCAGGTCCCATTTCTCCTTAAAGTCAGCGCAGCCGTCGAAAACCACGAACGGAGAGATGTCGCAGCTCCAGAGAACGCCAAAGAAATGCACAACCAGGTCCACGAACGCACCGTACTCGCCCCCGCGATTCTGCTCCAAACCTGAACAAAGAGCCGGATCATTACAGTGTGATTGTAGAAGAGAAGTGTCAGTGCAGAGGCATAAGAAAAAGAAAAAAAAATACACAAAAAAACCCTACAATTTAAGCTGTAATTTCCCCTGTACTTTTCCACATTTTGCTTGATATAAATGCTTAAGTTAATACGGGTGAAGAGCAGTAAGGTGCACACACACACACACACACACACACAACAGAAAACACTGCTGCTCAGACTCAAGGACACGACTGTGACGCATGAAGATAAAGCTCTACTCAACAGAAGATCCTCTGTCACACACACACACACATACACACATACACACACACACACACACACACACACACACGGGGATGGGCATTCGATAAAATTTTCTTAAATGATCATCGGGAGAATTAATGATTATCGATTAATCATTAATGTTTTTATATTAGTATTATCATCATTATTATTACTATCTGCACTACTAATCTGCATAAATAAATTCAACTTTACAACATATAAACATAAACACTCTAGAGCCACATCAGACCGTTTGACATGATCATGTGTTTAATGCAGATTTGCGCAACTCTCACAAAAACAAAATTTAAAACCACATGGCTAATTTACATAAACTAAGCAAAGAAAAAAAATCAGCTCTTGTGTCGCTGATGTGGTTCAACTTCTGTTGGATTAAAGGACATGACTCAGGTGAATACAGGTTAGTCTGACCAGATTTGTGTTTGTCAAAACCAGGACACCGTACGGGGGGAGGGGGGCGGGGCCTCGTCATCCACATTGTGCTTCTCTCACCTGGAAAAGCGTTTTCATGTTTTTCAGTGTCCTGGTGAACTTTTTCCCACTGGACACTGAAACATATGTGCTGCTTTATACACTGTGCACATGGACTCACACTTGTCCCGACTGGAATGGAAAGCCTGGAATTTCTTGTACAAGTCATCGTTAAATCCGCATTTGTGCTTCGACGTGTTGCAGACTGACCCACTGTTTGTGTCTCGCTCCTTCTGATGCAGAGACACATGTACACACCTGTTTGGTCACACTACACTAGGCACAGCAACATACATTTACGTTTGGCGATTAAAAATGAACGTAATCGATGAAATTCTTAACGATCAATTATCGATTAATCAACTAATCATGTTAAGTCCTGTGTAGATGTAGGTCGTCAGGGGCAGCGATTTGACCCAGAGCTCTGTATTAGAATTGTACTGGAAGGGGAATCAATTCTTTGTGCTTTTAATCATTCGATTCCAGTCGTTATTTTGATCGAACACTCCTAACAGTCTCCAGAGCACAGGGACGTGGACTCATGATCATGTAAGAGCATTATCATGTGTGGATGGGACAAGAGACAGTTTTTTTTTTCCTTTTGATCACGTTGTACTTTTGCTCAGACTTACTTTGGTCAGAATTCGCCTCATCAAAACCTCGTCTCTTTGATTTCTTAAGCGTAAACCCCGCCCACAGATGAGAACGGCCAATAGGAAACAGCCTCTGCCCTCCTCGCTCACACACGATCAACACTTTTGCCTCGGCGTCTTGAATCTTTGCTGTGGATTTTACGCTCTGAATTTTAAAGAGTGAGAACTTCGCACATCAGTTACTTGAGACGGGGGTGTCGGAGGAGCGGGAGCGGCCCAAGAACATGGAGAAAAATCCCACACTACATCTTACTTGCAAACTGTGAGATTTATTAGGACAAACTGTCCAACGTTTCGGCACTGGGCCTTCGTCACGCAAACAAAATGAGAGCTCAGGTGGCCATCTTAAATTGGGTATGGCAAGCACCCAAGGGTGACAGGTCCTAAAGAAACAGTGTAACAAAACACCATAATTCAAAAAACAAAGACAATCAACATATAGTGTAATAATAATAATAGTACAAAAATCATAGAATCATATTTATTATTATTATTATTATTATTATTATTATTATTATTACACTATATGTTGATTGTCTTTGTTTTTTGAATTATGGTGTTTTGGTACACTGTTTCTTTAGGCACCCTTGGGTGCTTGCCACACCCTAGGCGATATCTCAATATTTTAAATATATCGAGATATTTTTTAAACTTGATATGGATTCTGACATATCATATATATCGATATAATGCTTATATTCAATTCTGATTTCGCTGCTTCACTTGTTTGTCTTCTCTGTCGTCGCCCCCGACTCCCTGATTTTCTCGCTTGTGTCTCATTCATTCGTCACTAACGCCGTGAATGCGAAAGTTTGTGCCAATGAAAAGCTTCTAGCACCATGAACCTGTTACAGACAAGAACATCAGCAGCAGATCCTCACAGACAGAACACTTGTTGTGGAAAAAGACTGATGAATGTTGAAGCAAAGATGCAGAGTTTATTTCTTGCAAGAAATAAGTCTGACAGAACAACAAGCAGCATGTCCCCTCGACGTCAGATACACGCACCAAGTTTATACAGGTTGAGATGACCAGAGGACAAACATTTCAATGTGAGAAGTGACGACTCCTACTGAGGTGTGGCCAGATGTGTTTCTATTGGCACGATGTCACATGTGGAGTTCAAACAATAGGAGAGACAAAGGTCTGAAACCCAACTGCTTGATCGGATTTGCATCCATATTCACCGGCCGTGATCACTTCCTGATCAGCTTGCTTCCAGATAAGATTAGCAAGCAAAATCAAACAGGAGCATTTACATTGAAGGGTCTTTCCCAGCTTAATGAGCTTCAGTTACAAGACCAAATGTTGTTTCTAAAAGACAAATAATCACACAAGAGAGAGAAGCAGAGAGAGAGAGAGGGGGGGGGGGTCAGAGGAATAAGAGAGAGAGAGAAAGAGCAGGGAGATTAAGGGCAGAGAGAGAGAGAGAGAGAGAGGAGAGAGGAGGGGGTTGAGAGAGGGAGAGGGAAGGGAGAAAGAGAGGAGGGGGAGAGAGATCAGAGGAAGAAGAGAGAGAAAGAGGGGAGAGAGGGGGGGTCAGAGGAATAAGAGAGAGAGAGGGAAGAGAGAGGAGGGGGGAGGTCAGAGGAAGAAGAGAGATAAGAAGAGAGGGAGGGAGAGAGAAAGAGAGATAGAGAGAGAGGAGGGGGTGAGAGGTCAGAGGAAGGAGAAAGAGAGAGAGGAGGGTAGAGGGAGGGGAGAGAGTAAAGGGGGAGAGAGAGAGAAGGAAGAAGAGCGAGGGAGGAGGGAGAGAGAGATAGAGAGAGAGGAGGGGGTGAGAGGTCAGAGGGAAAAGACAGAGAGAAGCAGAGAGAGGGAGAGGAGAGAGAGGAGGGAGAAAGGTCAGAGGAAGAAGAGAGAGAGAGAGAGAGGAGGGGGAGAGAGGTCAGAGGAGACAGAGAAGAGAGAGAGAGAGAGAGAGAGAGAGGAGGAGAAAGGTCAGAGGAAGAAGAGAGAGAGAGAGAGAGGAGGGGGTGAGAGGTCAGAGGGAAAAGACAGAGAGAAGCAGAGAGAGAGGAGGGAGAGGAGAGAGAGAGGAGAAAGGTCAGAGGAGAAGAGAGAGAGAGAGAGAGGAGGGGGTGAGAGGTCAGAGGGAAAAGACAGAGAGAAGCAGAGAGAGGGAGAGGAGAGAGAGGAGGGAGAAAGGTCAGAGGAAGAAGAGAGAGAGAGAGAGAGAGAGGGGAGAGAGAGTCAGAGAAGAGAGAGAGAGAGAGAGAGAGGAGGGGGAGAGAGGTCAGAGGAAGAAGAGAGAGAGAGCAGAGAGTGGTGGGGAAGAGAGAGGAGGAGGGAGATCAGAGAAAGAAGAGAGAGAGTGGAGAGAAAGGAAGGGGAGAGAGAGAGAGAGAGATGGGGAGAAGAGAGAGAGAGAGAGAGAGAGAGAGAGAGAGAGAGAGAGAGAGAGAGAGAGAGAGAGAGAGAGAGAGAGAGAGAGAGAGAGAGAGAGAGAGAGAGAGAGAGAGAAGCTTTTTCTTTTGTTCTTTGTTCATTATTATAATGTTAGTTTCTCTTTTCCTCATTTTCTTTCTTCTGACTGTCCTAACTCCGCTGTGTCCCATTTTTTAGGAGTTTGAAATCCCGGTCACGCTCTGAAAACGTCATCGTGCGTATCTCACCTGACGTAAAGTAAAGGTGATAGACCAGACCGGAGCCGTCAATCACCAGCCGTCCCGCGCCGAACAGCTCGTCCCGGTGCACGTCCTGAGCCCGCACCAGTGCGTTCAGGCCCCGCACTCCCATCGCTCCGTTATCCGCCGCGCGCTCTCGTGTTGCGCCTCCGTTCCTCCGCTTCCGGTGACGGCGGCGGCGGCGGGCATCACCAAACCGGTTCACCGAGACCACAGTGACTCCCAAGTGACTCCCAAGTGACTCCCAGGCAGAGGTTAAGGGTTCGTCTGAGCTGAGTTTAAAGAGCGGGAGCGGTGTCAAAGATAACGCGGAAAGGGGCGGGGAGGGCGAGCTGCGTGTCACGTGACCCAGCCCGTTTCTCCTTAAAACAACTTCTCAAATATCATCAGTGTTGGGAAGGTGACTTTTAAAATGAATTCCCCTACAGATTACAGATTACATACCTCAAAATGTAGTTTGTAACGTAATCCATTAAATTACTTAAAGTGAGTAATGTAATCTGAATACTTTGGATTACTTGATTTGCTGTAGAGAAGTAAAGACCAGGAAACCATAACCTAAGATGTTTTATCTGCTAAAAGAAAATAAAAAGACCAGACTTTACTGAACCAAATTAAAAATATTATT